TCTGACAGGCAGACCCTTTAAGGAACTTGGTCACTAGGGAGGTCTGGTGGAACTGGTAGTCTGACAGGCAGACCTTTTAAGGAACTTGTTCATCGGGAAGGTCTGGTGGAACTGGTAGGCTTACAGATCCATGAAGGTCCATGGATACTGAGAGGGTTCAGGGGTAAATGATGGGATACAGACTGAAGAAACTAAGCTAATCTTGACTTTCTTCAGTATAGTTCTTGCTTGAGTAATTTGTTTTAAACATGTAGTTCATCCTACATACCATTGCAGTTTGTTATGCTCCGTATACCACATCAAAATGACATGCCTTGATGAAACCCAAATACTGTTCAAGGCTGCCTTAATCCCAGTTCCCTCACTCCCTATAATTTGTACCTAGCATCCCGGTGGCCAATCAGTGTAGAGACCTATCCACTGCTGTATACATGCCAGTGTTTAATAAGTCCAGGTAATAACAGTAATTACCAGATCTGCTGAGCCATCAATAGCTCTGACATTTCCAGCGAGCTGGCTAGGGCCCATGCACTTCTTACACTGCCAATGATGCAGTGGTATTCTGATACTTATTCACAACATGCCCGGTATTGGGCTATATACAGGCTGCTGATACAATCTGTTATACTCATTACCAATGAATGTGACAGGTTTCCTTCTGCTAAGTCACAAACTTATTAGCAGGTTATACATTATCTGGTTATTTTGAATTAACCTTAACATTAATATTGTTGATGATAGATCATCACCAGACAATACAAGTGTGAGTGGGTGCTTGATGCTTCTTAAAAAAGCCTAGTTTTTAGCCTAGTGGTTAAAGTGTTCCCTCATCACGCCGATGACCTGGGTTCGATTCCCGACATGGGTACCATGTGTGAAGCCCAATTCTGGAAGATCCTTAAAGGGTCTTCCACCGTGACATTGCTGGAATATTGCTAAACGTGGCGTAAATCCATACCCAATCAATCTCTAATCATGAGGCCAAAGGAAGGAACATGAATGATTCGAGATGCAGCTGATTTTACTGAGGTTAAAGTTAGTGAGTAAATGCTGTCTAACTCTGAAGTCAGCAATAGTCCAGTTTATATCATGCCAGTTGGTAATAACTGAGTCTGGACTGCCTGAGCTATGATACACCCTGATAGGGAATGATGTCATGCAAGTCACACATTGGTCGACTTTTACGGCAAGCATGAGGTACTGGAGACCATGGCAAGATGTAAAGAGTATATGTAAGTGAAATAGAGCACACAACATAAGGAAAATGAAATAATATGTGGATAACACATCACCAATAGCTGTGTAAAGTTCCAGTTTCCTTCCTGTTTGGCGAAAAATGTGTCTAAATGTGCAAGAGAATTCTGTTTTGTCCATCTAGATTGAGTTTGGTACAGGTAAATCTGTTAGTGTTCCGATTCCCAGCCAGTATAAGGATTCTCTTATAATGTTATATGAGAGTAATACTTTCTAAAGGTGGACTAGAGGAACTTGTGAAACAGCTTGAGTCAAATGTCCCTATCAATAGCACATTGATTTTCAAATATCGATCCCTCCTCATCACGATGTTGGAACAGTATTGCAAGGTCAAGGTTATTGTATATTGATCTTCCAATGAAAGTTACTTTCTCATGTGTATAGGACCATCTACTTTCCGGTAATAAATAATAGACGAATGTCTTGACGCATTACAGACAGGTTGTATACCTGGCGTATCACACATGAAGATAATATTCTGTGATTGGTGTACAGGTAAGGGATATGTCTTGGGGGTAATCTGTATGGTTATATAGGGGATGAATTATAGATTATAACAGTTATGTCCCTAGTGATAGGGATTCGTGTTTCACTCATCTCAGTTGGGTAGATCAGTGCAGTTGATGCTGTGTCTCTGAGGAGAAGTGATGAGGATAGAGGTATGAGGAGGTGTCATTGAGGTAGACATGTATACATCTCATTACCTGGCTGATAATAAGGTGTGTACTTTAGCGAGTGATCATTGATTAACGTTGCTTCTGCAATTTTGCCATTATTCACATCAAGTATTATATTTGAGGTATCTCCTGAAGATAATATATTCAACATTTTCTCTAATTATTGTGGGGGCAGTTAGGTAGCCTAGTGGTTAAAATTGAGACTGGTCATGCCAAAGAACTGTGATCAATTCCCCACATGGTACAACGTGGCTAGGTAATTTCTTTCTCTCCCCCACCCCCACCCCCACCACCATGCTAAAAGTGGCACAAAACCTGACTCGCTCACTTGTATCATTGCTTTTGTTCCAGTGTCACTGGATTGTCACTTAATCTTTGCAAAAACAGTATCACAACTTCATGTTGTTGAAAGCTTGATAATCACATTGACAGGAAAAAAATGATATCTCATTTTCTCATGATGAAATCATGTTTGATTTAGCTCATGTCCTTTGGGATCACATTGCTTCTTGAACCTGCTATAAAATGTGAGTAGCTGATAATTTATTGACAGCTTCCTGGCCAAGTAATTAAATTTTCACCATAGTACTGGAGACAAGATGAGGATAACAAGTGTAATGTGTGATCACTTGATTGGGATTTTACTGATATTAAATACACATGTTTTTTGCAGTAAGAAACTGATTGGTTGATTGACTGATCATATTAATGTAATCAGATGTAAGTTGTGTGAGAAATTCATCAAGTTTGAATATGTGTTGAATACCATGCAATCAGTGTTTGGCAAAGTTTGCGCATGATGGGCAGATGGGTTATATCAAACACGTAAACAACACTGTGTTCCTCCAACAGATAGTAGCGTCAGAGTGTGGCCTTGGATGGAGCTGGTTTAAGTGCTTTTACATCAATCACTCAATTCCTTTTGATACTGAACACTGTTGTACACCACTGTGAATACACATAACACCTGATGCAGAAACAGTACTAGTCCTTGCACCTTTTATAAGCCTATGTCTGTGCCATACAGCTAAAATGCTCTGCAGCTCTCTTTCATATCTTTCAAAGGATAGCTTCTTCTTTGATTTGACATAAAGTATTTGGTCTGAATACCAACACATGAGGTGTAATATTTACCATAGAAAACAGCTTCCTTCAATTTTATATGCCGGTTACATATTTCTGAAAATTGTTGATTCAAGATACATGACAGGTTGAACAAAGGGTATTTTTAAAGGTAATAATCCTTATTTTCCCCCACCGAGGCTCACTAGCTGTTAATAGATTAAAGTAACCTGCTTTCATTACTCTGTCGGTAGTTTCTATGTCCTGCTTTCTTCCTGTCATCTGACCTACATTTAGATATTCATTTTAGCCGTGTGGATGAATGAATCAAATTCAAAGTCATACCGCCAGGTGATTTATGGTTGCGCGGTTATGGAAAGAAAACGGAAACACCTGTACTTAAAGTTTCTTTGCCATTTACAGATGATTGACATAAATGATATTTGTTTTGATTTGAGAGAGGGGATGGAGTTTGTGTTGGCGGTAAAGCTGCCTGAATTTGTGTGGGGATGTTAAAGTTTACCACAAGGGCACCTCATGGAAAGCTGTAAGTAATGACATGTGCTGGTATACAGCTTTGTGAGCTTTGATAAGCAGTGAGCTATTGCAGTAAAACTATCCTTTTATTCACAGATTAGGGTATATAAAGTAGACCAGTTTGAAACACATGGTTTAGGTGCGCATGGAGAGGTTACTGCAGGAGCTAGTATTGTATGCTGGTCCTATGTCAGTATACACCGTATCTATTAGGGATAATGAAGCACAAAGGTGATAACCCTGTTATACCCCACGTTTACAAACTGCTTGCTTTAGCCTCTCTCATGTCATGTGTAAACATAATTAAACAGTTTTGTTGACAGGATGTGATAATCCTTTGTTGGAATAACTCTAGCTTCTTGGCCACCAGACAGAGGGGTACCTGGTGTTTGATCTCAGTACAAAGCCTTTTCCTATTGTTAACCAGGGCAGGTGCTCTTGTGACCTTGTCACAGCCAGGTGTATTTCATGTTCAAGGGAAAAAATAATCTTAGGGAAGTCAGTTATGTCATGTGGAGCTGCACATGGCTTTTCTAAATGGATATTGTTCATTATGAATTGATCAGTATGTGATTGTTAATAATTTGTTGTTAACATTGGCTTTGGAATTGAGCTGTTGTATAGCTTTTAAGCTCTGGCAATATGTCATTGAGCGGCATAAACTTCCTGAACCAACACATGAAAAAAAGGGAATTTATTGTTTTAACTGGTGACATATATCAATCTCTATCTTAAGTGACTTTTATTCACAAAACATTGTTGTTGAATGGTCAATTTCACTTATGCTTTTGGGCAATATAAATACTCATTAATGACTTGATTAGGTGAGGCCTTGTGTGCATTCTTGATACATGTGCTATGTATGTGAAAAATCCTATCATCATATGTCAATTTATGAGATAGCATCAGCCATGTCACTATATAATGTAACCTTCACGATTATCTTATCATGTTTTCTGACCTAATTGAAACTGTTGTTATTCATGTGATGTCTGCCTTGCTACATTAATGATGAGTGATGATTCTGAGTATGTCAGGGTTTTGAGTGACAATGTCAGGCGGTCCAGTCGTCTAAGGCTCCGCTGTTTGCTTTGTAGAATTTAGGCACAACAGGACCCTCTTATCATTCAAATCCCACATTCATCCTGATTATGTTTCTAGGTTTGTCAGAACCATACCATGCTTGTGTGTTTTGCCATGGTGGTAGACATGTGAGACCTGCATCACTCCAGGAGCACCTTCTACATTAAGCTGACACACTGTGATCTACCTGAATTACTGTTCAAAGCTGCATTATACTCAATAGGGAGCGTGTTGGGCTTGTCAATGTGAGATTAGTAAGAGATGAAGTATAACAGTTCTATTAAATAAGAAATGTCTTTTTCAGCATGTGACTATTACAGCTGAATAGTTAATTTCATTTTAATAGTATTCTGACAATGTCTGAATGTTTACCTTTGTTTGTTGCAGTTCTTTGGGTAGAAAGCGCCAGACTTCAGTGCCTGACATCACCAACGGGGATGACAGCTGGGATCCCACCGATGATGTATATAAAAAGGTTCAACAGGGTGGGGAAATTCCCTACAAGGGGCTGCAAAAACCAGCTCCTGAAAAACCGAAAAGTGAGTTCATTTCTATAACCTTGCTCTACCTCGTTAAACTTTGAATCATTCAGTTATGTGGGTATTCTGCTCTAGTCTTGGAGGAACTTAACTGACAACGATAGATGATCATATCAGAGATTTCTTGTGGTTAAAGCTGGGTGAGAAATTGCAGCTGTTAATTTTTAGGTCTGATAAGTAGGTTCAGTTTGAACTTTATTTGGACAGATGCATCCAAGTTTGCATGTGATCGATGACTAGAGCAGAATATTTCAACAATCTAAAGTTAAGCTGCTGGTGATTTTGTTGATTTTTGGCTTTTATTTTGTTTCGTTGTTTATGTTCACTTCAAGAACTCTTCTGTTTCATATCAGTCTTGTTTTCAGTTTTGCTGTTGTACTCTGGGTTTTGTTTTCCTCTATCTCTTACATGACTTTGACACGTTGACTTTTTGTCAAAACTTCATTCAGCATTGTAAATAATAAAAACTCTTTGTTAATTATCCTGAAATGAAATATTGTGGGTTTGATTCATTAAAAAATGTGCATGTAAAAAGTGAAAGTGTAATGTGAGTTTGCTAATGACATGTTTTTAAAGGGGGACTAGACTCTAGCAGAATAGCAGTCTGAGCAAGTTTGATGATGTAGATCATCAATTAAACAGTTAATAATGTCCCAAATTAAAGACACAATGTCTCACCCAAGACACAGATAACTATGTCTGAAGTCCGTGGAGAAAAGTCCCTCTTTAATTATAACACAAGGAGCAAACTGAACTCACCTGAAACTCTGACATACAAAACAATGCATGTGACATTCTGAATACCAACAAACAAGCAATAACACATTGAAACGTATGCCATGCATACCAATCATATCATTACACACAATTATCACCCCATCATCACTTCACATCAGCCATTCAGCTTCGAATGAAATATGCAGTGTCAGACCCAGCTAGTGCTATACTGTGACACGATCAAACTGGCCTGGATCACATACTTGGACAGTGTGGACATGACACTGACAGACAGCTTATCACATAGTGTGTGATATATCCCGTCTCCATGGACTTTGTCTTGCCTTGATCCTGGTATCCGTGCTGTGTTGTTTCGTATCACCTCACTCTATTCAATCACATGATGTATAATCCTTCCCGTTGTGGCTCACCAATGTCAACTTCGGATATGATTTGGTCAACCACAGGACCATTTCTCCTCTCATGTAAGTAGTTGTCGTGTCCCGCCAAAGTTCCTCCTCCCTCGTCTACTGTTACTATGGTATTTCAAGCAACCGACCAATAAGCTTATGTTATGTTTGTTTCAAGTGGAGGGATTTTATGTTTTGTTTCTGTCACTTCTTCCTGTCTTTTGTTTCATTAACCAGCAGCTTCATTCACCATGAAAAGTCAATACAGCCATGATTAACTGATGATTGTCATCTTTCAGCTTGTCCGCATCTAACATGATATATATAAATTGTAAAATTTCAATTTAATAATAATGTTAATGATGTATCTGGAACTTTGAAATCCTTTGTAAAATAAATATTTGAAATTTCAAAACAGTTAAAGTTGATCTAATTCATATTACAGTGTGCATTTCCAAGTTGTATGTGAGGAGGTCCCTATTGCATGGTGGATGAACTGACTGAATACTAACCCAGGCTAAGATCTTATCCATCTACTAATAACCATGCATGTCTACAAACATGTATACGAACATGTCTAGAAGAAATTCTTAAGACCTTCCCAACCAAGCTATTCTTTAAACATACCACAATGGAAGTGTCATCATCCCACAGTGCTGATGCGATGATGCATGAACCTGTCTACAGTACTGAGTTCAAAGGCAGCAGAGATGCCCCTAGAACTATGTTAGAAACACCTGTAGTGTCTAGAAGTACATCCAGCAGTGGCTACCAGTCAGTGACTAGCTATCCCCCATGTCATAACTATCAGCCACAACAGGAGGGCCGTAGAAATTTTGAACAGTTGTCTACTATATACAAAGGTCGGTTGCTTGAGAAACCCTCATACAGTGAATATATGTCCTCAAAACTTTCCAGTTGCCAACCAAGCTCAGATGAACAACCTGATTGGAAAGGTTCTGGGTCAAGAATTGAGAATCTTTCTTCAAAGATTGGTCAAAGTAGAGGGGTCCTAAAGGATTCAAGGGACAAAGCTGATAGACAACAAAGTCATCAAGTGCCAATTTCAAATGAACATCATAGCCATTTAAGTGAGCCACCAAGAAATCCACGACCAGAGACTCTATATTTACAAAGCAAAGATGATGTTGCATCTGTTGAGACAGGAAGCACTGAGAGTTACTCCAAGCTGTTTGACAGAGAAGAACAGAAACGTAGGAATGCGTACCGAAGGAGAGTAGAAGACCATTACAACAGACTGATTGGTGAAGAGCAACTATCTCCAGATACTGCCAGTATACTGAGTGATGCTTTTGCACAGGCAGAAGACAAGGCAAAATACAGGTCAACTCCAATTCAGTTGCAGAGATCTCCTGAATATCAGGTCGGGATAGACAGGTCTGTGTGGAAAGATATTGATCACACAAGATCAAAGTCTATTGAGAAACTGAAGACCACTCCTGATGAGGTGTTTGAAACTCCAAGTAAAGAGTCAAAAGGTTTCCCAAGACATTATGTAGATTCTAAAACTGTGCACAGACTTGGTAGTGCCCATGAACACATGTCAAGGGAAAGATCTAGTGTAGAAAGGGATAGGACAACATCACCATATATGGAGATGACACAAAATGTGATAGACAGTTCCACAAGGCCCAGTGGAAATCAGCCAGGGCCTAAACCATACAGATCAGGAGCGAAGGTGGATCCAATAATTCTACCAGAGAAAGGGTTCTACTGGGCCAAACAAAGATCACAGACTCCAGGGCCGGACCATCCAAGAGCTCAGTCAAACAGAGGCTCAGTTGCTAGTGATCGGTCTTCTCGACTTGATCCTCACACTTACCAGTCATATGCTGCAGGAATTCTTTACTCATCTGGGAGATCAGAGAAGTTCTTGAACTTGACTAAACATTTTTCTGTTTTGGAAAGGATATCTGAAATTGAATATGAAGCTTCTCAGAGGAAGCAGTGTGTTAACGCTAGACACCCATTGAACTGGGATCCCAAGGACTATGTCAACATGCTCTCCATTTATGATATTGAGACAAGAGAGGAATTGAAAGAACTGTATTCTGAGCTTGAAGAGGCAAAGAAAAACAAGGAGTTTTACTATAGTTCTTGTAAACTGGCAGATGTGCAGTGGAATCCAGATAAAGACAAAGGCCTTTTGAAAAAACAGAAATCATTTTCTGACTTCAAGACTTGTTATATGGAGAATGCCTCCAGTCCAGATGCGGTTGCAGGCATTTCTACAGAGACAATTGACAGGCAAACTCCTTATTACGCACTCTCTGCAAAATACAGAACAATGGAAGAAAAACAAAAGCTTAAAGAAATGAAGTCACCTGAAGATCCACAACAGGAACAAACTTCACCTAGAACACCTGGCCCATATCTACAGATTAAAGAAAACTCTGCCAAAATGTGTAAGGACAGACCATTGTATGGAACACACATCAAAGAATTTCCCGTGAACAAGTATGAAATCCATGTCCAAAACTATACACAGCAGATAAAATCCGACAATGGTCTACATGTCCGATCAATCTCTGCTCCAAACAAGGAAAATCAGGACATGCATGGTCCTCTGCAAAGATGTGATTCCTCAAAGGAATCTTCCTTCAGAATGGAAGATGAAACTGAAGATTCTGCACAGGAGGCTGAAGTCATTGTTACTCATGAAAGTAAGTTAAGAGGAGCTCCACTGATTGTGAGAGACAATGGCAAAGGAAGACAAACAGATACTCCTAAGACAAGTACAGATCTGTATCAAAGACCCAAGTCTTGTCTACCGCTAGAGAGGAACATGCTCCGAGCCAGTACAAAGGTATCGGATCTAAAATCGAAGTTTGAGGACACTACAAATGATGAAAATCCGACGACAGAGGTTAAAACTGTGAAAAGAAGACCTCGTTCAGTGCCCCCAAATTTTAGTGAAACAAGATCAAGAGGTCAAATATCTGAAAGCAGAAGTGAACCTCACAAATTCAAGGCAGATGGAGATTTTAAGGTTTCAAAATATGGAGCCCTTGATCAACATGGTCGATCAACTGAAAATAGAGGCCTATCAAATCAAGATCAACAAACAAGTAACCCAGGTGAAAGACCATCAAGGAGTACTATGAGGGAAACATTTGTGGAAAGACCTCATTCGTCATTAGGAAGGTACAAGCAGGACTCAAAAACCACTAGCATGCGATCAACTGAAAGAGGAGGCCTATCAAATCAAGATCAACAAACAAGTAACCCAGGTGAAAGACGATCAAGGAGTACTACAAGGGAAACATCTGCTACTAGCGTGCGTCATATGGCCAGTAGATGGACAGAAGACCACCAGGATAGTGCAAGGAGATCTGCTAGAGAATCACGAGAACATCAGCCTTCTCCAGCACAAAATGTGCCACCATTACCTGGTAGTCTTCATGCAATCACTGGCCATTATGTAAACAATAGATCAGATGATCAAAAACTTGGCAGTACATTTGAATATAGACTGAAAGTTGATGACAGAACTGGACAGGCATCAGATGTACCACCACCACCTCCACCTCCACCTCCACAAGAACCAACCAATCTGACATTAGGTGCATATCCAGAAGAATCTCTCAGAGAAAGAAGCAGGACACCCCAATTCCAAGTGAAAAATCTTAGAAGTTTAGCAGACAATAATGAATTTTCTAAGTCCAATTTTACCTGGTTTAGGAAACCTGATTCCTCAAATACAAAGATAGTTTCTGAAGTTGAACAAAGAGAAAGATTACGATTGCAGGGCTCTGCTAACCAGGGAGCTTCTGGTGTAAATTCTGTCCTCCCATCCTCTGAAAGTAGGCCAGGTTCCTCAATGAGACCTACTTTGCTGAGAGGGGCTTCCCCTACAAAGGCTCCTCCTCATGGATCTACATCCCAGAATTCATCAGATGATAGCTCTGAACCACACAATTATGGCCAACTGAGAAAGTGGTCAGGCATGGCAGCTAACATAAATAGAGATCTTGATCAGAGGCCTCCTTCGAGGATGGCTACTCAAGCTTCTAGAGATGAATCAGAGGGAAGTTTTGGCAGCACTGACACTTTCATTGTCAAAGGTAGTGATGATGAAACTGAGACTGATGTCAGGTCAGGTTCTTCACCCCAGCTGAAGGGTAACTTTGAAAGAGTGTGGGATAAATCAAAATCAGAACCAGATTTAGTTTCCCTGAGTGATGACCCTTACAGGCCCAGATCGGCAAAATCTCAGAGTTCCCTGAACTATGACATTTTTAAGGAAGGTCTTAAATCCAGAGACAGGCAGGGGACACTGAAAGATGCTTCTGAGATACCTGAAGTTCTTGGGAATATGCCTAGGACAATATCTGGTGAATTAGCAGATATTCGAAACAAATGGGAGAATGGTGACAATTTTGGAAAGGCTGTGGTTGAAAGATTCCGATCAAAGACACCTTCAGCACACCTTGATCCAACAGGAGAAACACCATATTCTGCTGAGCTAGGGAGAAACCGGACTACTGCAAGACCATCACAATATGATCCCTATATTCCACCAGAGGATATTCTTAAAGAAGTCACGAGTGTAAGTGAAGGCAGAAAGAGAGATGTGCCGCTTAATAAGCTGAGAAAACCTTCAGCTGTCAGTAAAATGACTCTGGACTATTTAGATCAAATTGGTGGAGAATGGCAACAAAGTAAGAACAGAGCATTCAGTAGGCCTTTTAGCAGGGGCCCCACAGAGGATCAGTCCTTCAGAGAACATGATGGAAGAGTCTCTCGTAGTGCTGCTTCAGGAAATAATTCTGCTGTAACCAGAACAACTAGATCTGGACAAGGACCTCACAGTGGCAGACTCAGTGCTCCAATAGAGAGAGTTCCAAAGCCTTCAGCACCTGTGAGCAATACTGATGGAGATTATGCTCCACCACTGTCAAGAGCCCCATCAGCAAATAATCCTCCGATTCCCCCTCCTCCTTCACATCCTCCTCCCCCGCCTCCCCTCCCACGACCAAGAAACAGAGGTACCACCAAAGGAAGGACACACACAGGATACCACACTGCTGGGGTCAATAGAAGAGGAACTCCTACTTACTTCAATAAATCTGGTAATCTTTGTGGTGTTTGTAAGTTCATGTATGTTTTCATTGGCAATCTTTATCTGTTGTTTTACACATTATCCTGCAGGGCAGGGAAACAGACAACCCACAATATTTCATTCGTACATTTTCTATTTCTGACAATGTCTTCTTTGGAATGAACAAACACTTTATTATCAGTCATGTGTGTTGTGCTCGGCAGTGTTGATTTCAAACTTTGTGTTTCTCACCAGCAGCTTACCTTCTATAATCTACAATGTATAAAAGCACACTGAAATAACTGTCATCCTTTTTTTAAAGAGCAACTGATATTCCTAAAGAAGATATACTTCCTATTCTACCATATTTATGATATTTATATATCAATGCACACAAAATACCCATGTCCTTCTCAATCACATTGTGCTTTTTTTCGATCCTATTGGCATGCTTACCTCCCCTGTGTTGACATTCTCTTTCTTTTCCTTCCTCTGCATGAATTTTAGAAAAAACCGAGCCATCCGAACCCAACGAGTCGTTTACTTCTCGTAGTCACGAGAATAGTCAGCTTTCGCCCAATGATCATCTGCAGCCCAGTGAATCGACCAATCAGAGCTTTAAACCTAACACACCCTCAAATGTGCCGAGTCCCCCGGCAAGAAATAACAAATCGTCTATTATCCCCAAAGTCAAGCTGCGAACTCCTCGCAGCAACTTATCGGCTGTTGAGCAGCTTGGACTTAAAAGTCCGCCCTCAACAAAAGTGAATCAGAATGGAGGTATACACTACATGTATCGCAGATATATTCTAGAAACCTTTAATCGCTGCTCTAGTTTGCTTTGGTCAAGCAGAACCAATAACTCCCACAGAAGCTAACATAACATTCCCAACAAGCTTTTTTGCGTGCTCATTTGATTTGCTAATGCTGCTTTGATAACACTTAATTGTACTAGCCATTATGATGAAGAAAGATCCGTATGTAGTTCTGTAATCATGATAATGATGGTAAAATATCTGTAGCTTAAGGTTTGCATGTTGTGAGAAGTAGAAGCTTAATCAACTAATGGAGAAAAAATAGGTAGTGGGGGGCTTTATGATAATACAGGTTTCGTGTATATCATCATTGGTATGTTAACACTTTGCATCATCAGGGATCCAACTGACAACTTCAATCTTTATTCAAACTCATATTGTCTGTATGATTTGTCATCGCATCAAGGGGCGGTGGGTAGCCTAGTGGTTCAAGCGTTCGCTGTCACGCCAGGGTTCGATTCCCCACATGGGTACAATGTGTGAAGCCCATTTCTGGTGTCCCCTGCCGTGATATTGTTGGAATATTTCTAGAAGTGGTGTAAAACTCACTAACTCACTCATCGCATCAAATGTGCTGAGATTTAATTTGTTCTGCATGTACTGTTAACTAACATTTCACAAGTGGACGAAGTAACCCATCACTTATTTTTAGATAGATATAAAGTAAATTAATTTTTCTAAATGTCAGGTACCGGCTATACTGGTTTAGTGAGACCTGTTTCAAAAACGTTTACAAAATGTATGTATTGAAAGTTATATCAACAAATTGAAATGTTAATGTTTTGTTTTTGGTTTGTGTTTTTTAAGCAGTAAGCTTTTGCAGAAACAAATGTGCCTTGACATCTAAAAAAAGCAAGAAAATAAAAGCTTCCTGTGACTCTGAAATACTTGGTATTTATCAAAATCCAAAATCCAATATTTGTATTGTGTGTCAGAACAGAAAAAGAGAATTGAAGTAAATACATTAAACAGAGTCTGCTTACAGTGTAACTTATGTTATGACAACAATGCGAGGACATAAGGGCATCCATTGTAGTAGCAGCTAACAAGTCTCACATTGTATCATGAGCTAGCTCCATGCAGTGCCTTCTCACAGAGGCACCGCTTGGTGTCAGCAGCGGCTAGGATGTACGTTATTTGGGACGTAGCCCACATAAACCAGTTGTAGAACTTTTTTTGGGAATCTTAACTGTCCTTCAAATTAGAGTAGATATAGATCTGGCAAGAAGCCAGGCTAGTATCATTCATTCTAAAGGTATTTGGCTAAGTTTTTTAACTCTGTCTTTATATAGTTTTAGAGAACTTGTCCCACAGTCTGAAGAAGTTTCTAAATATATTCCAGTGCTTTTGCAACATGCAGCTTTGATTTCGCTTCTTTCTCACAATTTTCCTGCCGTCATTTGTTCTCCTGCTTTATACCATCCATTATGATTTCTTGTAAATTTTTATTCTACTTTTGTCAAACTTTCCTGCATGAAAGTGTTCAGTGAAAAAATAAAAATTAATGTTTGCTTCAGTACTAAGTTTTAATAATATAACAATTTTGAAAAATTTAGATGTTGATGAAGTTTGATTTGAATATTAACCTGGAAACATGAGCATTATTGTCTGTCTTTTTCAGTCTTTTTCAATCTTTTTTTCAATCTGTTTCTTTCAGCTTTCCGCCACCAGACGACAGAAGTCAAAAGAGCACAGCCCGTCTCTGAGAAAGACAGAAGGAGAAGGCAAGAAGACGAGGCATACCGCAAGAGGAGACTGGTATGACATTCCTTTCCACCTTCTTTAGGCCAGGAAGAGAAGTGTTTCTTATCAAAAGCTAATTTTTAAATGACTCCTTCACCAGACTTCTCGCCTTTTGTTCTCAGGAGAAAGTCGAAATTAAAAATTATGTAATCAAACTTGGTAGCAAACATGGCGACATAGTTGAGGAAGAAAACATAATCCTTCTGGTAAGGTCTGGACAATCATTACATTAACAGAACTAATATTTAAACCAGATTTTGTAACAAAGTGAAATTGTTTTGAATGCCCTGAAAAAAACTGTTTATACATCATGATTCAAATATAACATCAGAAAATTATTATTTTAAAACGTTTTATTGCCTTATGGAGTCAGTCAGTCAGTCAGTCAGTCAGTCACTTTACTAATTTCAGAACAAAATGTGTACAAAAGTGTCTCCTGTTTAGTAGTAATTCCAAACAGTTTTCAGAAGTCGTGATCAATCATCTGCAATGGTAGCCCTTACTGAACCTTGTGCTATTTAGCATTAACCACCTCTTACCATATATACTCAAGCACCTGCATGCTGCAGTGACTCTGTGACCACCCAATGATCCAGTGTAGGAGGGGTTAAGTCACTGGCAGTGGGTGGTCTGCCCCATGATGTAAGGTTAGGTGATGGTGAATCAGGTTAGACACTGCAGGCCGGGTCCACATGTGCGACACCGGACATGCAGCACATTGCGTTACAGTGTTGCATGCTCACATTCATCCTTGGGATCTGCTGCTTGTAGGGATGCATAAGACCCCAGTAAGTAAACTTACTCTGTATTGCAAACTAGTGAATGTATAGACTTATTATAGTTGTTTGTCACAATTATCAGCATCTTATTTAAGGTGGCAGAATCATGATAGCCTAAGATTCCACAGTATGTATCATGTCGGTCTTGTTCTGATATGCGCCATGGTTGTTTTTTTGTGTGTTTGTTTGTTGTTTAACGCCGCACTCAGCAATATTCCAGCTATATGACGGCGGTGTGTAAATAATCGAGTCTGGACCAGACAATCCGGTGATTGAAATCATGAGCATCGATCCATGCAATTGGGATCAATGACATGCATGAACCAAGTCAGTGAGCCTGACAACCGATTCTGTTAGTCGCCTCTTACGACAAGCAGTCTTCTTTTACAGCAAGCATGGTTTGCTGAAGGCCTATTCTACCCTGGATCTTCTCCGTTGTGATGTACAGAGATGAGCTTTTTGAGCTCCCCCCCCCCCCCCCCCCCCCCCCCTTTTTAATGACTAGAATATGTATGTTTGGATGTTTGGACATGCTTTTACATTAAATCAAGGATAAAACTGGTCACTAAGTGCACAGATTACAACCTGTCACTCACTTTATCAACAGCTGCCAGGCAATTACTTGTATATTCTGGAGGCCTACATACATCCTCAGTTCAGAAGTGACAGGACTTCCTCCGTGGTCAAGTGGTAGAGCGTCTGCCCGGAGAGCAGAAGGTCCGGGGTTCGATCCCCATCCGCGTCATATCAAGAGACGTTAAAAGATGGTACTTGGTGTTACCCTGCCTGGCGCTTGGCATTAAGGGGCTAAAACAAGGACTGGTTGGCTCGGAGTCAGTATACTGTGTCTGAGTGGGGTATTCATGTTAAACTGCGGCATGGTATCTCAGTGTGCTAGGACTATTAATTGGCATCAGTCCGGACTAGTACAAGCAGCCACACACACACACACACGTGCATGCACGTCGCTATATAAGTGCAATAATCTTGGACGCGACGTTAAACCCCATTTCACCTCACCTCAGAAGTGACATAGTGATAATACTACTCTCCAACTTGATATGATATATTCTGAACAACAATAAGTTAGGAGTCATGAATGGTTTTGGGGATACCTGTATTTTTTTGTAGTGAAGTTCAAAATTTCTTAAAACGTACCCCCCCCAAAAAATCATGATCTTTACCGGTAACTTTCTTTGTTTAGTTAATATGCATTGGGTGTAATGAAGTCTTCAGGCAACTGTGTCAAAGGGGTCTACCTCTACTTTTGACACTATTCAGTGTAGGTCAGGATGCCATATTTAGTACACTGCGTGAAATTCAGACATTGCCTCCATGTATCTTCAGGGAAACTTTTATTGTTAGTGTGATCTAGATCATAAACTGATTCAAACTTCCTGTAGCTGCAAACCGCCTGAGATTATTCCTGTTTAAGGACAGCTGGGATTAGCCTACTGGTAAAAATGTTTGCTTGTTGCCAAAGACCCAGGTTGATTCCCCACATGGGTTCATTTTGTGAAACCCAACTCTGCTGTCACCTTCTATGATATTGCTGGACTATTGCTATTAGCAACCTAAAGTCCTTCTCGCCTTCACATTCGTTCGTGTTTATAAAAGCCAATGTGTTCTGTATGTCAATGTATAGCTTAGGTTTGATAACACTGTTATATTGTGAGTGTGACAGAGGCAGCTGGGTGATAGGCTGGGTGATAAAGTGATACAGCAAGAATGTAGTGGGAGATATGATGTCATATTCCACATATTCATGCTGGTTGTATCACAGTGCACCCATGAAGTAGCACAAAGTTTCCATGTTATGTTACAGGAGCAGCTGTATGACGAGGAGAGACAGAGGAAGATACGACAAGAAGCTGCTGATATGGAAGCCAGGAAGCATTCAGATTTCTTCACGTGAGATGCTTTTTGTATTTTCTGTGTTTAGAGACAACTTCTGACAAACTCCTCATAAGGATTTCTACGAATCTACATGTCATCTCCAATGATTTCATTTTTTCATTTATTGAAAGCTATAACAATCATTTGTTGACTTCTCAGACAGCCATAGACAGGGAGGAGTACTTGTTTAGGGTTGAAATGTTCATTTTGTGGGGCATATCCAAGCTCCTTTGTTGTATGTAATGTAGGCAGTCAATTTGCAGTCTAAATAATGCATGGAAATAAGGGTCCCTTTCGTGACCCTAATGTAACAAGGTATTATTTTACAGGGTTCTTAGATTAAAATGTTAGATTTTGGTTGGTTGGTTTGTTGTTTAACGCCGCACTCAGCAATATTCCAGCTATATGACGGCGGTCTGTAAATAATCCAGTCTGGACCAGACAATCCAGTGATTGGGATCGATGACATGCATCAACCAAGTCAGAGAGCCTGACCACCCTATCCCTTTAGTCGCCTCTTACGAAAAGCAAAGTTGCCTTTTACGGCAAGCATGGGTTGCTGAAGACCTATTCTACCCCGGATCTTCTGGGGAAACACCAGGCCCTCCCCTCATATCTAACTGTTTGTCTTCCACAGCCCTAGTCAGAAGTCCCCTATCCCACTGGACCGCTACAGTGAAGAGTCACTAGGGGGTGGTCCCAGCTCCATCCCCTCCCCCAGTGTTCCGCCAGAGAAGAGGCGAGGCTTCCAGATACAGGGCAAGGGCAAGGTGCTCTACAACTTCACAGCCCAGAACCCAAGGTCAGTTGTCTTCACATATGTCGTAGTTAGTGACCAACTTCCCCAAGTTAACATGGCTGGCACCGTAAGGGCTGTCAAACATCAGACTTGTTTCTAGGTTGGTCATGTATGAATTGCTGCTATAATAATTACTGCTGAACAAATTTCCAAAAAAATTTGCAATCTGACACTTGAACACTTGGATACATATGATCCACGCAGTCGATAAACACAGTAGGGTCGGAATGTTTCCTCGTATACTCCTCGATGTAGACCAACATTTAGTCTCTGAAATCTTATATTACACAATATCCTTCTTGACTCTAAAAATAAAAAGAATTTCCCTATGCTGATTTCAGACTGGCTAGACTTGCTTTTGTATGCATTTCTAGATTATTTTTTTTACATAAAATATATAAGTTCCACGGTCATGGTGCAGGACTACCCTCGATGTGGTGCATTGATTAATAACGTTGAGCATGAACACTTGAACCGCGTCACACGGAATCACAGAACCCTGTTCAATGGAAATGAATTCTTCCGTTGCATGAAGAATGCCAACTGCCTCAAAACAAGGTGTTCACAGGAGAATGTTTGTTAGTGTTAGTGGACTAAGACAGGTGGAGTGTACAAGTGTATTATAGTTTTGGAGGCAGTCAGTACCTTTTTTAATGATCAACTAATGTTTTATGGTATTTAGGCAGATTTAAATCAAAACATATTCTTCCAATAGTTCATATTCCAGTCAGTGAGTTATTCCATGTGATTCTGACTGACCCTTTCTGGTGAGAGACATCACATTCTCTGTCAGTAAGGGGCGGTTGGGTAGCCTAGTGGTTAAAGCGTTCGCTCATCACGCCGAAGACCCGGGTTCGATTCCTGACATGGGTACAATGTGTGAAGCCCATTTCTGGTGTCCCCGGCCGTGATATTGCTGGAATATTGCTAAAAGCGGCGTAAAACCATACTCACTCACTCACTCTGTCAGTAGCCATCTAGGAATTGGAGGAATGTGGACTTACTACATATTTCTTGTGATATCACCATGATATATGTATCAGTAAGCTATTGGTATACGTCTCTAGATTATGCAACTATGAGTATTCATAAATATGATCTGGGCCCCATTCCTCAAAGCGATCTTAGGGCTGAGATGACCATAAGCCTATGTTAAGTATGGGACTTACGATCACCTTAGCACTGAGATCGCTTTGAGGAATGGGGCCCAAAACTGTACTTAACATTTCTGAAAACATTTAATTGAATCAGTATCGTATATGAATGTATGTAATGACATTCTTCAAGAAACCATTGAACCTTCGGTAATAGATAAGTTGCATCTTGGTGTATTTCTATTACTGAGGTCCCCATGCCTGAAATAGGGGAACCACCAAGGTGTTTTGGTGGTAAGCTGTACATGACAGTGCTGCACAGATCAAGACAGATCAGGACAAAGAACTCATGCCAACTTAATGGTGTGTTTACATGCCATCCTTGTGCCTGTTCCACTCGAATGTCTGGTTGTCCGAAGTAAACTGATTCTTCCAGTCCAAGGGAGATAACTCTTTGAAATATAGGCATGTCAGTACCTTTTGTTTTCTGAACGTAGATAGTTACATCTACAGCGTTCCACACACTAAATTGATAAATTAGAAACAATTGGCAACAAGGAATAATTCAAAGGAGAAATAATTACTAAGGTTGTCTGAATGTATGTTTCATTTTTTTACATTTTCTGTGGAGGTCCATATGTCCTACCAAGACGGGACAATAACAACAACAACAACAACAACAACAATAATAATAATTAAAAAAAGAAAGAAAAAAAGAACTTGTTTTATTATATGTCACATGGTCACATTAATAAAATATGACAGGATAAAAATGTGGAATAAAAAAGAAAGAACATTCCACAAGTTTTGGTCTGGGAGACACCGTCATATGACAGATTCTTGACACTTTGATGAAAGCAACTTGCATCTTGTTTTTGCAGAGAGCTGTCGTTGCGGAAGGGGGACACAGTGTACCTGATCCGCCAGATTGACAAAAACTGGTTGGAGGGGGAGAGACATGGGAGGGTGGGAATCTTCCCCATGAACTATGTAGAGGTCATGACTTCTATCGAGGCTGCCAAGATGGCTGCCATGCAAGCAGAAGGACAAGGACAGACCAGATACAACTTCACTGCCCATACCTCAGTAGAACTGTCTCTGCGCAAGGTCCAGCCTTCACTCTTTTGTTTAAGCATAATATTAATTTGGGGCAGTCGGATTGCCTAGTGGTTAAAAGCGTTCGCTTGTCACACTGAAGACCCGGGTTCGAATCCCGACATGGGTTCAATGTGTGAAGCCCATTTGTGGTGTCCCCTGCTGTGATATTGTTGGAATATTGCGAAAAGCGGCGTAAAACCATACTTACTCACTCACTCTCTCACTGTAGCATGATATGAAGTTTTTTCACTGATTTGGCAAAAAGGAATAAAAGAACACTTTCACTGCACAAATGTCATGAACATAATTTTTAAATATGTTCGATTTTTAAAAATACATAAGTTAAAATGAGATTTTGTTTTTTGTTTCTTATTTTGTCATATAAATATGTTTAAAATTCAAATTTCAGGGAGAATTTGTTGTCCTACTACGAAGAATTGATGAGAATTGGTACGAAGGAAAGATTGGAACTCGTCAAGGGATCTTCCCCGTGTCGTATGTGGACGTAATCCGAGAGCCATCGACTCCCATGGTGACTCCAGCTCCATCAGTGATCACCACCCCCATGACAGGTACACGTCGAGGTCAGCTATTGGTTACTTTAAGCATGCACTTCTCTCCGAGTGAGTGCAGTCCTATTCCCTTGTTGACTGTGTGCCTACAGTAGATGTTGTGTTCTGTGTGCAACACTGTACTTCATCATCGCTGACAACGCTGCTGTTACTGCTGAGGAGTCCATGCATGGCGGCACATGAGGCAGATATATGGTTATCACTGAGAGTGAAACAGTTTAATGGGATATATGTTACAAATTGCAAACAAAGTTCTGGGTATTTTGTTCAGAATTTGTAAAGTCAAAATGTGTAAGTTTTATGCACTATTGTATACTTTTGCATCTTCCTGAGGAAAGGGAGTTAACTGACTGTAAAAGTCCAGATTCCACCTTTGCCGTACTAGATTGGAATTTCTGGGCTCGATTGTAGCGCCACCAGTGGCTATTACGAAATATTATGTCCCTTCTATGTCTCTCCTATTAACTTATCAGATTATCAGATTCCACCTCCTATATCACTTGCATTTGATTCAAACAAAATGGCAGTACCCAGTCAAAAAGATCTGATCAATAATCAAAATCTATAGTGTGATAAAAGGGGTCTTACTTTGCCAAGTGCATCAAATCACGTGAGCACCTTGATTGAGAACATAAAAATGATTTGGAAAATATCTTTTGAAGCTGAGTTGGCAGTCACATGCTTTGCAAATCCCGCAGTCGACCGAAGTCTGCATGGCAGTTTACGCGATTTGGATTGGACTATTGGACTCATTAGTCCAGCCAAAATATAACTCCATAATTCAAGCCTTGTTCTCAAAGGGTGGAAACTGGACTTTTATGGTCAGTTTACTCCCTTGCCTCGGGAAGATGGTACTTTTCGTGGTTGGAGAGGTTTCATAATAAATGGGCATGTGTATAATGCTCATCCTCCACTCTTGGGTACAAGTGTCAGGAAAAATTGCTATCTTGTATACAATACACAGTTTTAAACTACATAGTATTGCTCCAGGTGAATCAACAGGAGATAATGATCTTGGTCAATGTAAATATATATTTCGTGAAAATGCGTCTCATTTTCACATGGGGGCCACGGGTGGCCCTGTTGTCTAAGGCGCCGCGATTCGCTGTGTAGAGTTGCGTCCCTTGGGCACGCCAGAAACCTATGATTGTGGGTTCGAATCCTGGTTCTCCCCGATTATGTTTCTAGGTTTGTCAGCGCCATACCGGTGCTCGTGGGTTTCACCGAAGTGGTAAACGTCTGAGACCTGCATCACTTCGGGCTTTCCTCCCACATTAAGCTGACACGCCATGATATAACTGGAATACTGTTAAAAGCGGCGTTAAACCCAACTCACTCACTCATTTACACATGATTAAAGCTTAAACCACATGCTATGGCATCACCAAGCCTCACAGAGGGAGCCCCCCTGAAGGTTACTTCAAACAGAGTAGTTTCTTTTTCCTGTCTTTCATTCCTCTGATGTATGCATCATGGCCATCACTCTTTATAAGGAAGAGAATCTATGGAAGTCAACTTCTTTATTATGTGGGAGAATGTTTTGGAGTATATACTTACTCCTTCTTCTGGATGTCAACTTCTTTATTATGAGGAAGACATCGTTTTGGAGTATATACTTACTCCTTTACCTTATGAAGGAGTAAGTATACACTCTGAAATGTTGTGTTCCTCATAATAAAGAAGTTGACATCCATAAATTCTCTTCCTTATGTGTATCACTTCTAAATGCCTTTCAAAGACTTCATCACTGTTCTTGTAGACATTCATTCGGGGTATTTGTGTTGTGGGCGGTACTGAGCCATGTTGTGATTTTACAATTGTACATTCATGTCCAGTGTTGCTTTTGTGAAGCTTTCATTCTACCAATTCTCATCAATGCTTTCATACAAAGTTATACTCGTGTACTACTGCCAGTGCTTATTAATGTTGCCTACAACAGTATAGTGTACCTTCCATAGCTTTGTTATATTAATATTTTTGTTATCCCTTGTTATACCCAGTTTTTGTTATACTGAATCATTTGAAAACACACGAGCGGTTCATTTTATATATTCATTGTTGATATACATGTTGCGAAGGAACTATACTCAGCATCATTTATGGAGGGTCACCTTGTTGGGTGTCAAACATGGAGCTGGGTCTGGGTATGTTGACGATGTGATTAACGGTTGAAGAACATGTTGTTTTATGCCTTTGTCACTCTGATTGGATGCTTTTATGAAACTGGAAAAATGGACGACTATTAAAAACGATGAAAGTGCAAGATTGTAGGTGATGGAAAAAGCTACCCATAGCATGGCTGAACGCAGTGGTTCATATATTGAACGCAGTGGTTCAGCCCATGCACATGCAGTGCATGACAAGTAACAGTCATTGTGGTTATAATAGGATTAATTCCAGATACAACTTAACTACACTCTTGGTAAAAATGTTTTAATACATTTATCCCTTATTATCTGTGTGACCCCTCAATAATGACGATGAGTGTATGTTGTGAGATACGAACTATTAAATAATGCATGCTGTGTATGAATTATGCATTATTGAATTGATGTTCAGGTACCCCTGAGATGTTGTCCCCAGTGAGTTACGACGCTGCACCAACGCCACCCCCTCAGCCGTCCCCAAGTGCGTTTGCCCAGCGCTCCCCCACCCTATCGTACGGGTATCGCCAACCCAGCCCGGGAGGGCCCCGATCTCAGTCCAGTCAGCTCTCACCAATGCTTGACCAGGATTTCCGGTCATTGCCTCGCAGCGTCCAGCAAAGCCCTACTATTGGTCGGAAGCAGGTGTCGCCATCAAGCACCATGCCTCGATATGGAGCACCATCGCAATCCGATCGCAACCCACTCAGTAATCATGACTTCACCATAAAGAGCAAAGTGTCTGATGATGACCTTGCCATTAAAAGGTAGGATAGTGTAGTGCTTAAGTAACAAAATCTCTTCTTTTTGTTTTCATGTATTTTTGAATATCTGCTCTGTTATGACACAATAATTCTAACATTACTCTGTTTTAAGGTTCGTACAGGAACACTATATTTCAAGGCTTTCCAAGGCTTTCAACTGTCATTTTCAAGGCTTTTTAGTTGGTACTGTTAGCCTTTGTAAACACCTAAAAAGACCTAAAAAGCACCATGAACATCACAAAATTTCCAACAATATGTATTTTCACAACCAACAAATATTATAAATTAAGTCTTTCATTAATCTTAATACTTCCATTAACAAGTATATGTCATTTTGTACAACTTCCAGACTTTTCATGTTATAGATCAGCTGATAGAAGCTTCAATATCCAGTTTAGGCATCAGACATTTAATGATTGAACAAAGAGATAGGTTCTCTGCTATTTAATTTGATATTACTTGCCACCTTTATGAGACAATATGACTCTGCAGGTACCGTGCCCTCTATGCATACTGGCCCCAGAATGAGGATGAGTTAGAACTGGATGAAGGTGACGAGGTGTATGTCAGTGAAAAGTGTGACGACGGCTGGTACGTGGGCACCTCCACTAGGACAGGACAGTTCGGTACTTTCCCTGGCAATTATGTACAGCAAATATGTAAGTACTTGCTCCATATCATATATCATCATCTCACAAAACTTCAATGTACAATTTGATATGTTAGATAGATAGATGTGTACAGAATATAGGAAATGTTAGGAGGCCTGTTAGGTCTCTATTTTTTTTGTTGCATCAAAAAAAAAACCACGATTTAGGGTAAAAATAAAAGTAAGTTTTGAAAAAGTTTTAGGCTGTTTGGTGAATAAAGAAAAAATGGAAAGAAGGAATGCTTGCTTATACATATCAAAGGTTAGGCATGCTTCTTTCCCACACTTGGGGCGGTTGGGTAGCCTCGTGGTTAAAGTGTTCACTCTTCACGCTGAAGACCCGGGTTCGATTCCCGACATGGGTACAATGTGTGAAGCCCTTTCTGGTGTCCCCTGCCGTGATATCGCTGGAATATTGCTAAAAGCGGCGTAAAATCTCAATCTCTCACTCCTTCTTTCCCACACTGACCCACTTTGTTATTTTATTATTAAAATCCATCAACAGACTTGGTTGGAAAGATATTTATTATTTTTCGGTGTTATCTTTCAGGAATAATGGCATCTGCCACTGGAGTGTCTGCTGTACAATCACATCGAATCATCGTCAGTATCATCATCGTCCATGACGGCTTGTCACTGCAGCAGCATAGCTACATGTATATATATATCCTGACTTGCATCTGTCTGTCTGTGAGTGCTGTGGCGATGTGTGGTATAGTGTGCATAGTGATACCAAGCTGGAAATATGAGCAACATACTGCTTACGCTTGCTGTGGTCATGCAAGGGAGAAATGGCACCAGAGGACAGGCTTGATAGTGCTAGAAAACGTAACGTTCTTGTTTCAAAGCCATAAGTGAACAAACAGGATATTGAAGAAATACGAGCTGTTTTGTCTACAATCATATCATACAAAATACTCAAGGAAAAAGATCTGTTTCATGGCATGGAGCATTTCCTGTGAGAGTTATCTCCCCTTGAATATGGATCGTGAATCTCCCTGTATACCAAGGATGGATGTAGTTTGGAACAAGAGGGAGGACAATGTGCTTGTGTTCAAGTGTAAAAGCAAACAGTGTTATAGTTCCTAGATCAGTATGCCCCCTCCTCAGGATCCGTAGAGGCAGTATGCCTCCTCCGCAGGATCCGAAGAGGCAGTGTGCCTCCTCCGCAGGATCCGTAGGGGCAGTGTGCCTCCTTCACAGGATCAGTAGAGGCAGTATGGCTTCTCCTCAGGATCCGTAGAGGCAGTGAACAATGATGCAAGACATATTGGTATGAAACATGTCAAGTGTACTGTAGATATGGAAAGGATCTGTACAAGAATTAGCTGAAAGCATCAGGGTGGTTGGTTGCCTCCCTCCAAGATTCCTCTGTGATACTGTAGACAAGGAATGTACATATATGTCAGTCTAACAGTGGCAGTCATAGTAACAGAACAAGCACCTGTCCCCAATAGGCACACAAGCTTCGGTCCATCTACGCATACAGGCCTGAATATAGTGCACATGAACCATGACCGGTTGCTTGAACATTCTCTCAGACTGGCCAGCATTTTAATGTGCACTGTGTTAACCTAATGGGCTTATAGAGTCTGCATTCACCAATGTTGTATGAATATAACTGTCAGTCATTTCTAAACGATACTTTCAAAACTATGGTCATTATAACCTAAATTTGAGAACTATGCAAAGCCACCAAGGTTTTGGAATTTTCTCTTTTAAATATTCATTTTAATGTTGCAAGAGTTTTATACGATGGTCCTCCGCAGAATAAAAATTTTAAAAATGTGCCTTTCATAAAAGGGCAGATTATCCTTGCATAATTTTGCATGTTGAGAAATTGTTACCATGGTTACCATACTTTGTGTTGTGAGTTATTGTGTTGTGCTTTTTACGATTAGAACCAGTTTGTGTCCGTGATGGCTTATGATGATTAATATACATAGCAGATAATTTATGTATGTATGATTTTTGAAAGGAACGAAGTCAAAAATTAGGCTAGAGGTGACTTGTTGAGTTGTTGTTATTTGTGAATTGGAGACAAAGTTTATTGATTATATTTATTAATAATTTGATATACTACTAAAAACTGAGAATATTTGCCAACTAAACTGTGTTTATGTGAAATTATAAAAAGTGTGAATATTGTCCGTCATTGGATAATGTTCATACTCATAATTAATGAAGTCATTATTATAAATTAGATACAGATTATAGTTATTATATGAAATACGATGCTTGTGTTTATGGAGAACGAATTAGGTTTGGCAGAATTGATTTTCAAACATGGTGCTAGTTCTTGTGAATACAGACATTTTAATATGTGTTCATATTTATTTATAATCCTCCAATGACCCGACCCAGAGGTTACCCTCTGCAGGTTTTGTTTGTTTTGTTTCTATGGTTACGGCAAAAACCTTCAGGGTGAGGATACTTAATAAACAATATGGTTTTAAGGTACTTTACTTACCTGTCCTAAATTCTAAAATCAATGTAAACACATTTTATCTTTGTATTAAAAAATGTAAGTTGAAGAAAAGGATTTTATAACAGGATGTATAATCATAACGGTGTATATGTTTACTAATATCAATTCTACTGTATCAACCAATCCCTGAAGATGTTTGTTGTATGTTGTAAGGAATTTGAGTAATCTAGAGTTGTATAGTTAGATTGTATTGTAGAACCCTGTACTCTGTTTCTAAGTTTAAATTGACCCTTAGAGTGTTTAAGTATTCGTATATAGGGAAACTATATCTGCTGGAATTCGCATTGCTAGATGTCTTCCATAACAAAGAATCTGAAGACCTATTGGAAAAAGAATTTGTCTTTAGATGTTTTCTCAAAGTTTGAATTTCTTTTCAAAACATGCAGACGTAAGAAAATATTCGTCCATATTCAAGCAATTTGATTTAATAAATTGTCACTGTGCCTTTAAAATCTGATATTGGTCCAAACCATGATGCAACATTGTTTACTTTTTGTGGTTCTACTTTCAGTCAGGCGATTAACGTTGAGTTTGACCTTTCCACTTTCCCGTGATCTAGTGGTGTGACCCCGGTTACATAGTGATGGCATACGTCCCTACAATAACTCATCTATGCATTATACAGGTTGAAAAAAACCCTCCCTACCGGCCATCTTCAGCGGACACATGCCTAGCCAGTGTTCTGTTTAGGTGTCTGCGTAGCGTCCATGTTATCTCTGCTGCAGCGGATGTGCCACTGAACAACATCTACTGCAACAAATTTTTTCATTTTTTTTGTCAATTGAGTTTAATAACATGAATTTATCTCATGACAATAGCATGCACTAGCCAGATTTTGATTCAACAGAAATAGCCCAGTATGTACTTCACTGATTATCGTGATGAAATGCCTTAGTTCAATCCGATGTGATGCATTTCGGTAGACATTATCATATTACCCCATAGACATTTTCCATTGTAGAATCTGCAATCAACATCATCTGTTCCAGCTTAACCTGCAAACTCGGAATCCAAAGTTTTTAGCATTTCTCTGACCATTTAAATATTTTAATCTTTGGTTGTTTGTTGTGCCCTTATTTCCCTGTTACCCTGGCAACCATTAATAACTCCTCTCAGTTGTGACCTGTTATGAGTTTTAGACAATATCTAGGGTATTTTGTTTGGTTATCACTCATTTTACATATGTTGGTGCATGAGAAATTAAAGTGTTGCTAGAAGGTGATCATGTGTTTGTTTTTACTGTTTGGAAGTGCTGTCACGAGTTCGTGCCCAGAATGTCCGTGCTGGAGTTCGCTGAGCATTCATCCTGCTTGAATACTTAACGTACACCACAACACTTTAGATGTCAGTCACTGATCCAGATCATCTTCCCGAGGCAAGGGCATGAACTGACTATGAAAGTCCAGTTTCCATCCCTGCCGAACTAGGCTGAAGTTCCGGAGTTACATGTTGGCTGGAATGACAGGTCTAAGCATAGTCCAATCAAAATCTCGAATCAAACCAGACATCCAGGTTTGTATACAAACAACATGGATTTCACTGTGCAGATTTCAGTTGACAGCAGGATTTGCAAAGCATGTGGACCGCCAACAGGGCGTTGACGGATATTTTGCAAATATTTTCATGTTTTTAATCATGCACTTCGCGAGTTAAGACCCGTTTTATTACAATATGGATCTTGATTATCGATCAGATCGTCTTGACTGGCTGCCGCCATTTTATTTGAGGGCAATGCAAGTGATATAAGAGGTGGAATGTGATTGGTCAATAGGAGATGCATAGAAGGGTCATAACTCGTAATTGCCACTGGTGGCACTACAATCGAGCCTGGAAATTCCAGCAGGCAAGGGTGGAAACTGGACTTTTTTAGTCAGTTAACTCCCTTGCCTCGGGAAGATGGATCCAGATTGGGTATATACAGGCTGCCCTTTCATAGTATGAATATTACTGAGTGCGGCGTTTAACAACAAACAGCCCTCCCAACCCCACCCCAAATGGTGATGTTAGCAGGAGATTGGAAGTGGGTGTGAGAAATGAAACTGGGAAGTGGGCTCCAATTCACAAAGTGATTTCAGCGTAAGTGTAGATTTGTCCGTGATCAATTTACCTCTCAATATATCCAAATTTAATACAGCGCTGTTAAATCAACAGATAATTTAACTGAATTTAACACTGAAAGCGTAGTATGTTTCTTTCCTGTAGGGAACCACTTCTGTGGTCTCGTGGATTGAGCGTCTGTGTTGAGAGTGGACGGTCGGTGGTGGTTTGAACCCAAGTGCATCATACCAAGATTTGTTAAAAGATTGTACTAGGTGTTGCCCTGCCTGGTACAGGGATTAAGGGGAGACAGCAAGTACTTATCAGAGTCAGTGTAATGTAAATGGGATGTCCATGTTAACTGCAGCATGACACTCTGGGCTAAGACTACATGTCAAACAGAAGTCCACACTATTACAAGCAGCCCCACACACATGCATGCACATCGTTATTTAATCTTGGAGGCCATGTTAAACCCCATTTCACCTAAATGAAGCTTGCTGACTTAGTTCATGCATGTCATCTTATCCCGACTGCGTGGATCGATGCTCAGGATGTCAATCACTGGATTGTCTGGTCCAGACTCGATTATTTACAGACCGCGGTCATATAGCTGGAATATTGCTGAGTGCGGCGTTAAACAACAAACAAACAAACAAACAAACAAACAAACAAACACCTGAGTTAGGGAGTTTCTTGGACTGGGACCAGGATGAAGTAGGGTATCAAGGACTAATTGGCACAATGGATACTCAAGGGAATAGTTAATGTTTTACAAGGCCCTAGGCAGTCAGCAATATTTCAGCCTTATAATTGCAGCTGTAAATGGGTGGGCTTCAGCCAAGAAAACTTGTTTATAGCATGAGCAACAATCCACGTCCTCAGGGCACTATGACACCCAGTTACCCATGTCACACTGAATTTAGATAATGAAACATGCTGTACGCATTTTGTTTTGTCAGTGATAAAAACTTTCATCACCATATGTCATACATAACATATGCTGGTAAATGCAGAATCTGGAACAAGGCGTTATAATGCATCATAATACAATATTAAATATACACCACACACATGACATAAAAACACAAAGTTTAACCAAAATAGAAAGTAGCTATCTGGTGTCATGTTACGCCTAGCATGATTTCAGATTTATGTAGCAAAGATGTTTATGGAGTTTGGTGGCCTAGGGTTAAAGCAATGTATGAAAATGGTATGACTCCTATATGAGGAAAATGTGGGAGCCCTTATTTGTATCACCCACAAGAGTAATGGCTCACACATTTACCTCAAAAGCAGAGTAAAATCAACCTCATTCACTCAAATGTTAGCATCAAGTAAAGTCCAACATTGCTACCAGGTAGTATCATTTCATTGAGGAAGCTATTGGGTTCATTATGGCAGTCCGAGTCCAATCAATAGTCCATTTAATTGGGGTACAAAAGATTACTGGTTAGCTTATCGGTGACTTACATTTTCTCCTCTCAATTTATGACCGTTCCACCACACGATGAGGCATTCACCCGTGTCTGTCAATATTTTATGAGGGCTTGAATGACAATGATTGCTTGAGTAGACTTTATGAAGGAATTTCACGCACGTGTCAGAGCGGAGACTTTGCACAAAGCTTTTCTGCTAATCCCTGTACTTACCGATGTAGATGTATTAAAGATTGGTTTTGGAAAAAGCATTGCCATGTGGAGAGGGAGGTAAACGTTTTCTGTGTGTGAATGAGTTCATACGTTTTTCACGAGACAGTGTTCTTGAAATGACGTAAACACTGGCGGACTACTTCCACATTCCTGGATCTTTTAGAACCTTTAATCTTGGTCTCAGCGTTTCAGTATGCATTGAGAAAAGTCAGAGAGCTTGACTGCATGATTGTTCACGAATATCCTCGCTACGGCCCATCCTAATGAGCAAACGAAGAAATACACATCCAAACTATCGTAGTATCGACTCGATCCGTGTCTAGGCTGTCAGTGACCGTCTCCAGCAATCTATTAATTTACCTTAGTGTCTGTTAGATGCATCTTTAATCACCTTTTAATGATCGGCCAGTTGATCAATGATGACTTACACATGTAACCGCAGCAGGTTCATAAACAACTTCGGAAATCTCTCCCGTCACGTTTATCGTGTCAGCCATTTTGACGTCTTGTACTTTGATGTACCGTATTCGACCTAATAAGCGCCCCGCTCTAATACGCGCACACGGCGACATTTGCTTAGATATTGGCTAGTGAACAATCCCCTTCCGATTGATGATTGTACACAAGACTTATTTATTCGCGTATAATACGCACTTGTGTGTTATATGCAACCTTAATTATGGCATTTAATTTTGAAAAATATATCTGTCGTACATAAACATTTCAGGTTGACGGCATAAACAACGAAATTTATCTTTCAACTGTTTTTTTAAATTAAGAATTGACCTTCACTTTGTGTGAGTTCATTGGAGTATGAACCTTCATAGAGTGAGGGCCAAACTGTATGAACGTCGGAGCTTGCGACGACGTTCATACAATGTTTGGCCCTCACTCTATGAAGGTTCATACTCCAATGAACTCACACAAAGTGAAAGTCAATTCTTATAATTTTTATATCACAATTTCTTACCTCAAAGGATTTAGGCCAAGATCTAAACACAATTTTATTTAGTACGTGTGACACTGACACTGACAGCCATACAACAACCAGCTATATCGCGGAGTAAAATAGTTCCTCAAAAAGAGAGGTGACATGGGCGTATGGATGCACAACTTGCTCTTCAGAAACATCTTAAGCAGCACGTGTGTTCAGATCATATCCTCATTAGATGAGAAAGGTCTGTAAAGAACTACCTCAGTAAGTCAGTCACAATGACAGCGCGTCGTAATACATTTACATCAAGTACATGACGTCAAAATGGCCGACACGATAAACGTGACGGGAGAGATTTCAGAAGTTGTTAATGAACGTGTGGCGGTTACATGTGTTAGTCATCATTGATCAACTGGCAGATCATTGAAAGGTGAATAAAGATGCGTCAAACAGACACTAAGGTAAATTCATAGATTGCTGGAGACGGTCAATGTCAGCCTAGACACGGATCGAGTCCACACTACGATAGTTTAGATGTGCATTTCATCGTTTGTTCATTAGGATAGGCCGCAGCGAGGATATTCGTGAACAATCATGCAGTCACGCTCTCTGATATTTCTCAATGTATACTGAAACGCTGAAACCAAGAATAAAGGTTCTAAATGATCACTACAGAAAGAACGCTTATGTGTGTTTTCGTGCTAGGGAATTCCCAGGGGTTTCCCCAGGAATGTGGAAGTAGTCCGTCAGTGTTTACGTCATTTCAAGAACACGGTCTCGTGAAAAACGTATGAACGTCAAATTGTGTCGTTCATACACTTATGAACGTCAATTTCACGGTCATGTGACCGCTCTCTCGTCCAATGGAAAAGCCGTATATCGTGTAAACTTCAAATTAAAAAATTATTACCAAAATAATATTCTATGAAGAGCCCCATATTTCTTATTTTGAGAGCGACCTGGGCGCTAATTACGTCGAATACGGTATATGTATTACGACGCACTGTCATTGTGACTGACTTACCGAGGTAGTTCTTTACAGACCTTTCTCATCTAATGGTAATATCATCTGAACAAATGTGTTGTCTAAGATGTTTCTGAAGAGCAAGTTATGCATCCATACGCTCATGTCACCTCTCTGTTTGAGAGCAATATAGCTGGTTGTTGTATGGCGGTCAGTGTAAACATGAAGTCACACGTACTAAATAAAATTGTGTTTAGATCTTGGCCTACATCCTTTGAGGTAAGAAATTGTGATGAAAAAATTATAAGAACTGACTTTCACTTTGTGTGAGTTCATTGGAGTATGAACCTACATAGAGTGAGGGCCAAACATTGTTTTGGCCCTCACTCTATGAAGGTTCATACTCCAATGTGTGTGTGTGTGTGTGAATGAGTTACTCGGTATATATATACATACATGTTTACCTGGGAATTGTTATTGTTAGGTACGAAAAGTTAAACTGGGTTAGGGATATAATTAGTGGGATTAGTGTATGGATAATTAGGGGGATTAGTGTATGGATAATATTCATTTTTTATATAAACATACATGTAATATATGATGCGAACGACGAAATGTATTCATCATCAAGAACGCCAGCTTCTTTGTCTCTTGGCAAAAAAACTACATTTATAATGCGAAAACGAATTAAGCATGAAAAAGTGTATTAATAAAAAAAACCTTTTGAGTCTGAATGGGACACAGTAACTTTCTTATGTGGCTTAATTCCACCGAAACAGTCGAACATTTTAGAACCAGGTCGAACGCCTAGGAATTGATGATTTTGAAGGCGCTTCTTTTGCTGTGCCATCACTGAATTCACATAATAAATTAGAGTAGCCTCCCTTCTCTTGTAAAACTGCTCAAAATGACAAGTGAACCCTTTCATACAACACCGAGACGTGGATATGCATAATGCGAAGCTGAACAATACATCGTTTTATTGCCCTCAGCTCAACATTAAACTACTGCCGTAACTTAACTATGGCCAAATATATAGTTTTACACATTCTTGTTTTTCATCACAAGAAATTGGGTAGCCGAGTCGAACTTTATTTTCTTCCTATTTCCTACCCACCCCAAACTAAAATCACAAATACGGGCCTTCGACATGACTGACAACTCTTATCCACAAGGCTACACCACCGTCCTAGAATGAGTAGAAATGACGGGGTTGGGTGTATGTTGTTTTATCTCAGTGTGTATTCCGAGGACAGGTCATCACCAGCCTATGGCATCGGGTGGTCAGGCTCGCTGACTTGGCTGATGCATGTCATCGTATCCTAATTGCGTAGATCGATGCTCATGATGTCAATCACTGGATATTCTGGACCAGTCTCGATTATTTACAGACCACCGTCATATAGCTGGAATATTGAAAGGTGCATGAATATACTGTAAATTCCATTCTCTGTAATGGATATGACCAGTATCCCGTTGATTACCAGAATGTGTCATGAGTTGATGCATGTAGTGACGAAATACTAATGCACCTTCAATCTGTCTGAATGAGACAACAATATTTATTAGTATTTATTAGTAGTAGTTAAAATGTAATATCGCATCAGCATTACCATTGACGTAACCTTAAAACCGAACTTGGTTTGGTCGTGTCGTCAACTGGGGCTATATATTACATCATCTCCTCGTTTGAGGCCACATTCTACTGCACCATCATATTATCATAATATGTAACTTTTGTCTCGTATTGAGTTCCAGCTTCTTAAAAATCAGATCTTAGTGATTTTAATGAGATTGAGTATAAATCTGTGTTCGTCTTCAAGTAATGGCCAGGACTATTCACTATCAAGCGTGAGTATTGTCTGTAACGTCATTTTTACCAACGTCATAATCACTGAGACGTCTTCTGCTTGCATTGGCGTTAAAGACAAACTGGTACACACGTCCACTGAATATATGTCAAATGTGTTTGTGTGTTAATTATGTTATAAGGTTCTGAACTTCTTCAATTTCAAAAGTTTAACGTAGGCGCGCACGGGAAACCCAATCGTCTTAGGCGGGCTATGTCGCTGTGCAGAGTTGCGTCCCTTAGGCTTGCAAGAAATCTATGATCAATTCATGGGTTCGAATCCCAGATCCGCCTTGACTGCAGTTCTTGGTTTGTCAGCACCATACCGTGTTCGTGCGTTTCCCCAAAACGGTAAACGCCTCAGACATAAATCACTACAAGATTTCCTCCCACATCAAGCTGGCTCGTCGTGATATAACTGGAATACTGTCCAATAGCGGTGTAGATTCAAACTCACTCACTTACCCAAAGTTTGACCTCCTACGTCTCACTGACACAATCTGCATTTTCGTTACCGTAAACTAGGGACTGTTTAATGGGTTTTCCTAATGGGGATAGATTATTTTCTGTTTTACTCGACTGTGCGTTTATTAGAGATTCGCTTTTATTGTCCCGGGTGATTATGGGATAGATACCTATGCTTGTTGTAAGAGGCGACTGAATGGATCGGATGGTCAGGCTCTGTCACTTGGTTGGTTGTGTGGCATCGTACCCAGACCGTGTTGGGCGTTGCTCATAATATCAATCACTGGTTTGTCTAGTCCAGACACGATTATTAATTTTACAGACCGCCATCATGTAGCTGGAATATTGTGTTTTTGCGGCGTTAAACAAGCATACATTTTTATTTTGACTCGGAGTCAAGATCCTCGGGTCGGGGTTCCAAACCTCACCAATTTTCCAGCAGCCTAGCAAACATCTACGACCTCCTTTCCTCTTACAGTGGGTTTGATTTTACGCCGCAATTAGAAGTATTCCAGCCCCAGAAAAGAGCGTCACAGAGTGTACCCATATTGGGCATCGAACCCGGGCCTTTTGTGTAACGTGCAAACTCTGAAACCGCTTGACTGACCAACTGCCCTTCCTCTCACTTTAGGGGTCACGACGGTCGTCTGAGGCGTCGCAATTCTCTGTACAGAGTTGCGTCTCTTGGACCCGTCAGAAACTTATGAGTGTGGGTTTTGAATCCCGGTTCGACCCGATTATGTTTCTAGGTTTGTCAGCTCCATACCCGTGCTCGTGGGTTTCACCAAAGTGGTAAACGACTCATGCCTGCATCACCTCGGGCTTTCCTCGGACTTTAAGCTGACACGCCGTGATATTACTGGAATACTGTTCAATAGGGCGCTTAACTCACTCGGTCCTCTCACATTAAGTTGACAGGCCGTAACACACTCGAATGCAGCAATGGCGCCAACAACACATTGTCCATATTCATTAACAACATTCGACAAGATTTCATTTTTGTTTCGTTTATTTACATTTTGTAAAACTTTGGGATTTCAAAACGAAATCTTTAAAGGAGTAGTTCAACAGGATAATACTCATATTGCCATTTCTAACATATTTACATTAACTTTGATATCACGCAGGGTGGCGAGCGACCCCTGGGGATGGGGAAGATAACTCTCAAACACAACCTTGTCTCTGTAAAGAAGAAATAAAAAATAGCTGTAGGCTTGTCACTACGCAGGTTTCTATGGGTTTGTGCACAAATAAGGATATATACAAAGGTAAAAATATTCTTCTAAAACACTCCACAAGGTAATGTATGCACAAACCCTCTTCAGCATCCCTGCTGAAGACTCGGTGTTAATTGGAAGTACGTACCACACGCTTTTAAAACCTGTCCTCTTTCATGAACGAGCGAAAGAACGAAAAGTCTTTCTTAGCACAAGAGTGGTCTCCCTTGTTTGTTGTTCCCGGTAGAGGACGTACCTTAATTGTTTGTCGCACTTGTACAGTAATTGCTCAACGGCCAAACTACGATCACACCTTGGTTGAAAATCATTATAAAAGCCTGACGTTTTCTCCGTTACAAGCGAACAAAATAAGCTCAGTTAGAGAATTAATTCTAAGCGTAGTTCTGATCAAAACGCAAACGTATATAAAAGTGATAAATTATGCAACAAACATGCTTTGAAAGTTACGATTAAGCAGATATACCTTAATATCTGAAACACGTCGTGACGAGGGACGTGTAGTTAACCCGTGACCTTTAGGACTTTTCATACCGCCCCATGGCCCGACCCTGCTCTACACAGACGGAAAGTTTGGAAGACACAACGTGTTCCCCTGCAATTCTGCCTAATGCCAAACGTCTTTCTATCTTGGATCCTGTCGGAAATATAAATTCATCTCATTCTTTTCACAGGAATTTGTTTTCCTACTGCTTCGAATCAACAGAAACCCTGGCTATCAAACAACGATTGCTGAGGATGTTATTTTTGTTCCGTACTGTATCAGCGCCGCGTAACATATCCCTACGCGACTGTTGGCGGAAGGTTACGGCCATATATAGTCCCGGCATCAATCCGTCTCGCCCACACTTTACAAGAGGTGAGTTCGTTCCACAGCGACTCTCCTTGGGTCAACTAAATCACTGACTCACTACCTCAGAACAAGACTTCTCCACAAATCAAGGAATATCTAGAAAACAACTCTGTGGCAGTGAAAAGCAAATCCCGATTTTCTCGTCTTGGAGAGTTCTGGCACTCGCATGGTAATACGATCCTTGTGGCGAGAGGACATCATTCCAGCCTACCACCATCGCACTGATGGTTTTTGCTACTCGGCTCAGCGCCATAGCTGTGGTTACTATGGCAACCAATAAAGATAAAACGCACTCAATACTCTGTCCCAAGTTGAAGGTCGGGAATAGGTGAAGGTCGTATTTTGATTATAGGAAAGATGACTTGCGAAGAACACACGTGTATATGGTATCATATAATCCTTTGCACATCAAACAAGTTACGCACTTCTCTCTCACTCTGTAAAACTTAAACGTAAATGGTGAGACTAGTTGCTACAGTATTCCACACAAATTGGGAGCAATGATGGTCTGGGTGTAATACAAGGGGTTTTCATACAGGGAGGTCGTCATTCCGAGCCACCCACTGTATGAGGTCACATTGCACTTGAGAGTAGAGTTGACTGAACCACGACGGTTCCAACGAAATCGTGAAGGAGACATTTCTCAATAATCCCGGCCAAGTACTACCAAACGTGGAACCTCCAAACATTCACACATGAACATATCACAAGTCCGTTCCAGGCAGGTCAGAGGCTGGCTGACCAAAACCTGGGTTACGGTAGCCCGATGGGGACATAATGTTAGATGAGTCACTAGCGTAGGGCGAGGAGTGGCCCGGATACTGGGGCTCGAACTCCCCCGACGTGCGCCATGCTTTGGGTGAGTTGTTGTAGTCCCGGAAGGGGGGCCTAGCCATTTGTTGCTGCTGAGGCGTTGGGTGTGATGGCACGGGGGATGACGATCCAGAGATCGGTGGGGTGTCTGGAATTAAATAAAATAATATCGGTATCTACAATTGGTTCAGGTAATCAAACAACTATTGGTTGAATCAAACAGTAACAAACTTAGTGGTTGGTATGCATTGAACTACGTTTGTCTCGCAGCCAATGTGACTAAAAGGGACTATAAGACCACAAGAGGTACGACACAGGGATAAGTTCGAGATAAATAGGTCATTAGCTTGAAGTATATACCTCCTTGTAAACTAGTCAAAAGCAGTTAAGGATCACACGATTCTTTCATAACACTGTGGTTAATCTGTCATGTCATATACAAAATCAGGATTCCTATACTTCTTTTGAGGCCGTGACAGAAACAAACGGTTATAGCCCATTTTTGTCCTTATAATGATAACATATAGCAAAACCCTTAAAGAGAGCAAATTTCTACTTGTCCTTATGATACCTTAACTATTGGAAAGTTTTGCAAGGACTACAGGACTAGTGCCAATTTCTAACGCTGTGAGCAGAACTCAACAATATTTCCGCGTGTATCACGATGTTTGGAAATAACCTGTCCGTCGCGATGCTCTCGCGTTTTTTGTAAATAATAAATACGATGTTCTTATATCGGTATCTGTCAAAAACATACTGAATTGAATTTTGAATTTTATAACGAAAACATATATGAGCATTTCAAATATCGTTCCAACAGTATTTATTTCTTATGAATAAAAAATATACCAAAGAGGAATCAAACAATATAAAAGCGATAAAAGTGCTGATGCAGCGTTAAGTGTTTTTAACTCCCTCACTATATAAGACGAAATGGTTGCGTGTAATAATGCAAACACAAACACACATCCATTTCTTTCAGAATGGTATGGGTATGTACACCTTGGTTTCATGATACAGACGTGTGTGCTATGCGAAAACATCCCAGTGCTTCATGGTAGAGATGTACTCACAAGACGTGTAGACGTTAATTCCACATCAATCAATCACGTAATGGCGTTATTAATTATTCATGTTTCGTGTTTGACAGTGATGGTCTACAGAGTGTGTAGATGGTTGACAGTGCTGGTCTACAGAGTGTAGATGTTTGACAGTGCTGGTCTACAGAGTGTACGTGTTTGACAGCGTTGGTCTATAGAGTCTGTAGATGTTTGACAGCGTTGGTTTATAGAGTCTGTAGATGTTTGACTGTGATGGTCTACAGAGTGTAGATGTTTGACAGTGATGGTCTACAGAGTGTGTACGTGTTTGACAGTGCTGGTCTACAGAGTGTGTAGATAATGACAGTGCTGGTCTACAGAGTGTGTACGTGTTTGACAGTGATGGTCTACAGAAAGTGTAGATGTTTGACAGTGATGGTCTACAGAGTGTGTAGATGTTTGACAGTGCTGGTATACAGAGTGTGTAGATGTTTGACAGTGCTGGTCTACAGAGCGTGTATATGTTTGACATAGATGGTCTACAGAGCGTGTAGATGTTTGACAGTGCTGGTCTACAGAGCGTGTAGATGTTTGATAGTGATGGTCTACAGAGCGTGTAGATGTTTGAAAGTGCTGGTCTACAGAGCGTGTAGATGTTTGACAGTGCTGGGCTATAGAGTGTGTAGATGTTTGACAGTGATGGTCTACAGAATGTAGATGTTTGGCAGTGCTGATATACAGAATGTGTAGATGTTTGACAGCGCTTGTCTACAGAGTTCTGTACATGTTTGACAGTGCTGGTATGTTTGGGGTCAAGCTTGGTATCTGCAGTTGTTTCGGTCTAAAATCTGTAGCGCCCCTCTCCCCAACCCCCTATCTTCACAGTATGTCTCAACCCCGAGAATGCTACAACAAGGCAACAGCGATCTCTGTCTGTTTGACAAAATGAAGCATTACATTTTGACGTTTGTCGGAAACCTCGTCAATCCGACCCTCGGGCTAGTTTGGAGTCGCGTGGTAATGTGAGTCTGACATGCATATACGCTTTTACATAATCTTATCTTCTACACAGATACCAACTTATCAGGTATAAGTATACGAAAACTTGGATATGCATACCGCATGCATTATAACATTGAGTGAGGGGTTTAACGCCGCTTTGAACAATATTCCAGTTATATCACGGCGTGTCGGTATGAAGTGGCAGGAACGACCAATTGATTTTTTAGACGCTTACCACTTTGGCGAAACCCATGATCACGGGTATGGTGCTGACAAATCTGGAAACATAATCGGGGCGAACCGGGATTCGAACCCACGATCATAGGTTTCTGTCGTGCCCAAGGGAAGCAATTCTGCACAGTGAATTGTGGCGCCTTAGCATCCTAACATAATGCTACTCTGAACAAAATCTCCTCTGAACAAACAGGTGTGTGTGTGTGTGTGTGTGTGTGCGTGTGTGTGTGTGTGCTTGATGACCAATAGCCGGGACATAAGCCAAATATGTCACGGCAATAGAAACATTTTTTTTTCCGAGTTGCTATTTTAGTTAATTTTAATGTTAATATATTTCAAGACTTCATTGTGCGTGCATGTCTAGATTCAGTGATCAAAAGAAAACATCTAGAAATCAGAAGCGTCAAGAGGAGTACATATAAAACACTTGGATCTTGATCGCGCCCGCCCCACCAAATATTTTTTAGCATACTAAATATCTAATATGCATTCTGAATTTCTATAGATGATCGGGCATACTAAAGAACTTACGTATAACACCAATGACTAAATCATTTTGGGAATTATTTTCAAAACATTACACGCTTATTGAGCGCAAATTCCAAATTGCAAAGTGCACCCATCCATTTTCCAAAAATCTGTATCCCCAATTAGGAAAAATAAGGATAAAATCTGTACTTACAACTGACAGATGGTTCGTTGAATCCAGTCCATCCTCTCGCTTTTCTGTTGAAGTTCTTCCCCTGAAGGAGTTGTGACGGGTCGGCTCGGAGACTGGCATGTTTGAGGTTAGAGGGTAGGACCAGTGGGGGTGTGGCAGGGCGTGGCGCGGGGGAAGGGGCAGGGGGTGCAGACTGCTTAAGCTTCAGCATTTGATTTAATTTCTGTTTGCGTTCAAACTCTGTGAGGTCTTCAAAAGCCTTTTCAACACTTCCGCAGGGGTTTACGAGGGCGGCATCCCATGGGGAGAGTGGTCCCTTCAGAGGTTTTGTCAACCCTCCCAGCTTAGCTGGTTTCACAGGGGACTTTTGTGCATTTGTTTCGTCGACAACATATTTCTCCGCTCGTTGTCTCCTCTTTTCAAACAGCTTTCCAGCTTTTCCCTTACTGTTCTTGAGACTCTGAGCGATGTCAAAGCATTGATTTGGAGATACGCCTTGATGTTCGCATCTCTGCGAGTCCAGTCTCAGTCTCTCAAACTCCTCTTGGGTTAAACTCATTTTCGTCTCGGTCTCAGGACTCGACACCCGGTTCTTGAGGCTAGGGATCTTGAAGTGCAGCCTTTGATCCTCTTCCTCGTCGTAGTAGTTGGGGTTGTATCCGGGGATGTCGTCGAGAGGATTGAGAGTGACAAGTTTACCGTCATGAATCCACTTCATTGACCTCTTTTGACGTTTGGCAAACATCTTGGCACCGCGGGCTTTCTTATTGGCAGCAGACGTAAGGGAATGTGCAATAATCTTGCACAATTTCATCTGATCCTGAATGGTCGGGAAATTCTTCTCGGGATCATCGTAGAAGGCCGAATCCCCAAAGAGCTTCTCTGTAACAGAAGAAAATATTGCATAAGAGCTTTTCAGATGATTAAATCACCGCCCGTAAGATTATAAAAGACGTAAATACCACATGCACACCACCTACTACCCCTACTAGAAAAGTGGTTGGAGCTGAGCGCACGTTCCTCGCGTTACACGTGCATGGTTCTCCACTGGGGCGAACATATGGATGGGAAAAACCAGCGACACTTTCTAGTTGGCGACGACATTGAAACCTTGCCAGCATGCATTCCACACCTGATGAATTATGCCAGCCCGAGTTACAGATGCGCATGTGCGGGGAGGAGGTGGTGGTGGCAAGGATGTCAGAACGAGGTCATCAGTCGTTGGTACTGTCAAAAACGCTGTCTCCATGACAGCAAGAGCCGTGTAAGGTATAGGTACTGATACACGATCTGGTACTAACCTCAGCGGCCCAGGATAGTCAAGGCCACTTTGTTTTTCTGTCCAGCATAGCAGCACGGTGTCTATCTGGGAGAAACATGGGACTATTTGCCAACAGACTCGCACGGTAGTTAACGACTTCCTCTAAACACTGTTTGGCACACATTGCTATGTTATCACGAGATCGAATGTCTAGGAGATGTTCGTGGAATTCTTTTGTCCTAATTTAAAGCACAACAACAACATATGAAGGCAAAGAAAACTTATTTAAGTTGGCACGAAAACAAAATGAGTTGAACCAGCCGTTTAGTAAGGCCGACTATCAATTTTATGTTCTAGATTTTGTATCGAGGTTAGATATTTTTTCAGCTGCATCTGCAAAACCTGAATACAGTAAAGTACGGTTATAACGAACACGCTTATAACGAACTGACGAATATAACGAACTTACCTTTTTGGTCCCGACTATTTGCTTTAGTTATGCTGTATATATGCTTATAACGAACTACGGTTATAACGAACTCAAAGGGACTACTAATTTTAGTTCGTTATAACCGTAGTTCGTTATAAGCATATATACAGCATAACTACAGCAAATAGTCGGGACCAAAAAAGTAAGTTCGTTATATCCGTCAGTTCGTTATAAGCGTGTTCGTTATAACCGTGGTTTACTGTATTTTTTTAAAAAAGAAAACACTTTGCTGACAACCATCAACATTTTGTGGCTTTTTCAACAGTCATGGCATAATTATTCTTCTTAGGGTTGCTGAAGACCAATTTTAAGTCGGATCTTCAAGGGATCTTCAAGGGGAGTTTTGGTGAGAGGCGTATAAATATTATCTTGCCAAGCTTGGTGACTTGGTTGATAACATGTCATCGTATCCCAACTGCGTGGATCCACGTTCGTTATGTTCATCCATAGTTGGAGTGCGGCGTTAAACAACATCAAACAAAGGTAACACGTACAAAGCGATGTGTATTTCAAACAATGTCACAGCAAAATTAATCACACAATACTGACTCTGATAAGCGTTACGTCCTTATGAGCTTCTGTATTATTGCAAGTGATTACAGGTCTCAAAAGATGCAAGCGATAGATCGATACGTGTTTGATTAAAAACGATTATTAAAACAAAATATGCGGCCGCCTCCATGGTCTAGTGGTAGAGCGTCCGCCCGGAGAGCGGAAGGTCCGGGGTTCGATCCCCGGCCGCGTCATACCAGTATATTGTCAGTATATTGTGTCTGAGTGGGGTATTCATGTTAAAACTGCGACATGGTATCTCAGTGTGGTAGCACTATAAAATGGGCTTTAGTCCAGACTAGTACAAGCAGACACACACGTGCATTCACGTCTCTATATAAGTGCAATAATCTTGGACTCGACGATAAATCCCATTTCACCCCACCCCACCCCTTAGATAAAATGCAAACTACTTAAAGGAAGTAATTATAATGAATAGTTTTAGAGAATCTCCACCAGACACTTGTAACATCGGCCTATCTAGACTTGCCAATTACACAGATAGAATTACCATGAATGTTTCCGACAATACAGACAAGGAGCAAGGCTAGTATTGTTTTCATCTGGTATTATATATCAAGACATCGATGTAGACTATGGTGTCCAACAGGGTGATGCATTATCTCTGTCATTATATGGGCAGCTACATGTAGCACGTGTGTGTTTCATTAGGAAGCTATAGCGTCATACATTGCAACCGATCTCATCAGCGGTAATCGGCATCACATGCGGGTACTGACTGGTTCTTGTGAAGAGCATTATTGATTACAATATGCGCCATTATAGTTATGCTTGTCCAGATATAACACAATTAAACCAGAAACAGATTGCTGTGTCGACGAGCGACATCTTCGATTACATGTTATATGACACAACTGTGTTGATAGTCAGATGATCAGAACATGTGGTTAGAGAGACGGCGGCTCTGAGGCTGGCGTGTGAGGTTTTAGAGAGAGAGAGAGAGAGAGAGAGAGAGAGAGAGAGAGAGAGAGAGAGAGAGAGAGAGAGAGAGAGAGAGAGAGAGAGAGAGAGAGAGAGAGAGAGAGAGAGAGAGAGAGAGAGAGAGAGAGAGAGAGAGAGAGAGAGAGAGAGAGTTGCTTTATACGTGCAATAAACTTGAACACGACGTTAAACCTGCTTAAGCAGTTTAGTATAAACACTGGAGTATACCAACGCCAAGTGATTGTAACTAGATCGCTACAGTATTTGATCCGTGTATCTTTAAAGAATTATATGGTCAGGCTCGCTCACTTGGTCGATGGATGCCATCGTATCCCAATTGCGTGGATTGCGATGTCAATCTCGATTATTTACAGACCACCGTCATATACATGTAGCTGGAATATTGCTGAGTGCGGCGTTAAACACCAAACAACAAAACAAACTAAAGAATTATATCTTACAGTCGAACCAGAATGCAGACCTGAAGTGACCTCGAAGTCAGCCCACGGTCTTTACCTGTTCCTACCAATATCATCATGTCGACACCCTGGGTCTGATGCACTTTCCTTGTGCTTTCTAACAGATAGACAAAACAGTTAAACAACAGTTAAACAACACTAACGGTTGGTAACAAATACTTACATTGGATGAAAGTGTCTATCTATGATTTCTAGTACATTGAAGTAGAGAATCCCAACTGGTTCAGTCAAGTCAAGTCACCTTGTCCGGTCAGTGTCACTTGAACCAGACAATGTCACATGAACATGTCACATTACCAGGTTAATATTCCAACCACAGAGACTCTTTAAATCATTTCCGGACGACGTACATGACCAGTGACCGTCACGAGTCTCTCCCCGTGTCCACCACGAAGGGTTCTCTGTACCCGGAGGCAGTGCCCCTGCCCCATTGTCACAGACCGCCAATTGGTCCAGGGTGCAATCGCACACTTTTAACGCCTGATACTTAACGGTGTAAACGGCGATTCGGTGATTACTTAATTGAATTTTGTGAAGTGCTTGTCCCAAAGGTATGGGTGATAATATCTGCTTGTTACCAAACTACTTAATGTGTCCGTTGTTCATGCCCCTGACTGCGCGACTCGATTGTATCTGAACATATAATTAGTGTTGACAATAAAGGATCAGCCATGACTGTATGCAATTTGTGTATTCTTTGAAGTATAAAGAGTTCGTATTTGTTTGCATCAAGTGCATCATAACAGCACCAAGAAACTTGGATCAAAGGTATTTCATTGTTGACTTTAAACCGCCTGATAAAATATATAGAATAATAGAGACTTTAAAAGGGACTGTATATTGACAACCCATTTTGGACGTGGTATTGTAAACGTCCATCGTGTGACGGCCCACGTTCAATCAATCATTGCCTACTATCAAGTTACTATTAGGCAATTGTTGAGTGACATATTATACCATGGCGTAATATAATCCAACATACGTGCAGTTGTGAAACTGATCTAACTGCGTATACATTAGAACGAAGAGACACTGATCTAACTGCGTATATACAACAATAGAACGAAGAGACACTGGTCTAACTGCATATATACAACCATAGAACGAAGAAACACTGATCTAACTGCGTATATACAACCATAGAACGAAGAGACACTGATCTAACTGCATATGTACAACCATAGAACGGAGAGACACATATCTAACTGCGTATATACAACCATAGAACGAAGAGACACATATCTAACTGCATATATACAACCATAGAACGAAGAGACACTGATCTAACTGCGTATATACAGCCATACAACGAAGAGACACTGATCTAACTGCATAAATACAACAATAGTCCGAAGAGACACTGATCTAACTGCGTATATACAACAATAGACCGAAGAGACACTGACCTAACTGCGTATATACAGCCATAGTACGAAGAGACACTGATCTAACTGCATATATACAACAATAGACCGAAGAAACACTGATCTAACTGCATATATACAGCCATAGAACGAAGAGACACTGATCTAACTGCATATATACACCAAAAGACCGAAGAGACACTGATCTAACTGCGTATATACAACCATGGAACGGAGAAAAACTGATCTAACTGCGTATATATAACCATAGAACAAAGAGAAACTGATCTAACTGCGTATATACAACCATAGAACGAAGAGACACTGATCTAACTGCGTATATACAGCCATAGAACGAAGAGAAACTGATCTAACTGCATATATACAACAATAGACCGAAGAGACACTGATCTAACTGCATATATACAGCCATAGAACGAAGAGACACTGATCTAATTGTATATATACAACCATGGAACGGAGAAAAACTGATCTAACTGCGTATATATAACCATAGAACGAAGAGAAACTGATCTAACTGCATATATACAACCATGGAACGAAGAGACACTGACCTAACTGCGTATATATAGCCATAGAACGAAGAGACACTGATCTAACTGCGTATATACAACCATGGAACGACGAGAAATTGATCTAACTGCATATATACAACCATAGAACGAAGAGAAACTGATCTAACTGCGAATATACAACCATAGAACGAAGAGACACTGATCTAACTGCGAATATACAACCATAGAACGGAGAGAAACTGATCTAACTGCGTATATACATAACCATAAAACGAAGAGACACTGATCTAACTGAGTTTATACAACCATAGAACGGAGAGAAACTGATCTAACGGCGTATATACAACATAGAACGAAGAGACACTAAAGCCTGCTGATATTACCGCCTGTTGCATCGGATTAAAAAACTAGTGTTAGTATAGCTTCTTGATGTTCGGGATATGCTATTTCAGTCTGGTTAATGTGTTCCCACTCTGTGATGGTAGGTGCCAGCAAGAACCATGCAGATTTGTCTGGCAGTTAGTAGGACATGCATAGGCTGTATTGGGATATAGTAGGACATGCGGGGGCACGGGTGGCCAAGTCGTCTAAGGCGCCGCGATTCGCTGTGCAGAGTTGCGTCCCTTGGGAGTTGCGAAACCTATGATTGTGGGTTCGAATCCCGGTTCGCCCCGATTATGTTTCTAGGTTTGTCAGCACCATACCCGTGCTCGTGGGTTTCACCGAAGTGGTAAACGTCTGAGACCCAACTCACTCACTCACTAGTAGGACATGCATAGAGTGTATGGGGATATAGTAGGACATGCATAGACTGTATGGGGATATAGTAGGACATGCATAGACTGTATGGGGATATAGTAGGATATGCATAGACTGTATGGGGATATAGAAGGACATGCATAGACTGTATGGGGATATAGTAGGACATGCATAGACTGTATGGGGATGTCAGGTGATGGCTCCATGTCTCAAGACGCACGTCCTTCTCTAGACTCTCTCACAGCCCATTAACACTATTATTTTCCCGTATACCAAGCCTTGACTTTAATGCTATATCCCTAAATGAAGCAAGTCTAGATCTTCCACAGGTTCCGAATCTCCCATCTCACTTGGGCTCCTTTTCAATTTAATAGGAAGTGTTTGTCCCTATCAAAATTATTATTTCAGGGACTAAGCGTTCATCTGGTCCTGCTCTTGAGAACTTTGTTCGGCAAACTTAACGTTTGTGTTTGAAGAGATTGAACAAACAATTTACAGGTGTTTTCATCAAATTGTTACCTAATAAACGTGCTTAAATATTGTAAAAGTGTTGCCTTCTTATAGCAATCGAAATTTTAAGGGTTTTTCTTATCGATTTGAATTCATCACTAAAGAGATCCAATAAGTTTCTTTCCTGTGCTCATTTCCAGTCTATTCATACAACGTACTGTGTGTGAAACTGAGGCATTGTCTTCATGTAAACAGGGGCGGTCGGGTAGCCTAGTGGTTAAAGCGTTCGCTCGTCACGCCGAAGACCCGGGTTCGATTTCCGACATGGGTACAATGTGTGAAGCTCATTTCTGGTGTCCCCCGCCGTGATATTGCTGGAATATTGCTAAAAGCGGCGCAAAACCATACTCACTCACTCACGCACTTAATGTAAACAGGATAATTATTAACTGTCAGATTGAGAGTTATCGTGAAATTTGAGCTAGCATACGAACAAGGAACTGTTTTAGGGACTTGATCAATCGGAGTATCATTTGGCCCAAGCCTATTCCTCTCTTTAAGTTAAGGGATGGTGGGGCAGCCTAGTGGTTAAAGAGTTCGCTCGTCACGCCGAAGACCCTGGTTCGATTCCCCACATGGCCACAATGTGTGAAGCCCATTTCTGGTGTCCCCCGCCGTGATATTGCTGGAATATTGCTAAAAGCTGCGTAAAACCATACTCACTCACTCTTTAAGTTAGAGGGAAATGAGTTACTCTTTGCTGGATGTTACCTTATTCATGCAGAAAAAATGACGCATTCCATTCCATCCTAAATATAAAATTGGAAGTTTTTGAATCGTGTTGGGAACCACTGTGGTTGAAATAATACAGTCTGTAGTTTCTATACAATATCCTGAATAATTGAACTGAAAAAAATGATACTCACTGTTACCAAGCGAAGATGAAGGGCTGGAAATCTCGCTCTCGATACTCATAGTCCGGACAAGGTCAAGGTCATGCGGCCTCCCAGAGAGGTCTTCCCTCTCCCCCGCGTGAAGGCTGATCTGGACGGGTGGGGCAAACACCGGGAGCCTGTGGTGGTGTTTGGAGGACGAGATACTTCCATCTCGTGACGATATTATGCTTCCCTCATCCTCAACGTCGTCGTACGACCTCGGCGACAACATCTCCGTCTTGATGTCCCGGACTCTTGTGATGCCCAACTCCCTCACCACCGGCTTGGGTGGCGGAGGAGGAGGTGCTGCCTTGGTTGGCTTCCATGTTTGATTGACCTCAGGCAGAGGGAAGGTCGGGTACTTCTTGTCCTCGGGCTTGCCGATCTGCACTTGTTCCTGACCTCCAAAGGAATCGCCAGGCTGCCACGACTCTTGACGTGTGGACATGCTTGTATTCGTTGTCGTTGACGATGAAGTTACTTTACGAACATTGAACATTGGCACATTGGCGGTGGGCTGCTGACTGGAGTATCCTTTAGGAGAAGCATTGCCTATCTTTGTATCGTCTTTGGGCCCACTGAACATGGCGGACACCTGGACCTGGACTGGCTGGGAGGAGTATGGCTGCTTGGACAGACTGGTATCCAGCAGAGATGGGAGGGGGGCCTGAGTGGGTGCCCACTCATCGTGGACTACGGAAGACATGTGTTCTGAGTGGACAAATCCGCGAGTCTCCCGCCCATTGCCCTTCTCTACAAAGGACTGTGTTTGCATCGACCCTTTCTTCACGCCGTCATCGTATGAAGCAGACGTAGTTGACGTCACCCGGTCGCCATCTTGCTTAACCGACGAGTGACCGTTGATGACTGGAGCGTAGGACCCTGCCACGGTGTGGACGCTGGGCATATTGCCCCTGAAACACAACACTGGGTATTAATGGCATGATGTAGACAGGCTCTTTACTCCGTTCTCTAACGGTAAGTTACGATGGAGCGGGGAGGGAAAATGCAACGTATTACGAAAATAACTGGCTCTGGTCAAAATAGATGTTTATCTTTTATGTGACATTGACGGTCATTCTAGGATACTACAGTTACAGAAAGAAACTGTATATACATCCATATTTAGTGCTGACCATTACCAAGACATTACTTCCAAGGCAAAATTATTTTTTCCAGTATGTTTTAAAGATATTGTGTACGCCCCCTTTACTCTTTGCTAAAAAGTTCTGTACAGTATCAAGTTCTGTTTAACTTATGGTAGCCTTGTGGTTCAAGCGTTCGCTCGACACGCCGACATGATAACAACGTGTAAAGGCCACTTGTAAGGTCCCTGCTAGAATATTGCTAAATGGCGGCGTAGTACAATACTCACTCCTACACGAGGAGAACGACATGTGATGCTGGTCATGTTCCTGCTGCCTGTGTAAATCCCTACCCTGCTGAAGTAGCAACCACAGTAGTGAGTGAGTGAGTTTTGTTTTAGCAATAGTCAAGTAATGTCAGGACGGGGCACACCCAGAATTTGCTTCACACGTTGTACCCACGATGGGAATCGAACCTGGATTACCGGCGTGACGAGCGAACGCTTCAACCCCAAGGCTACTCCATCGCTCCCTCAATATAAAAACCGATAATCAAGAGAATTGCCATGCCTCAGACTAGGTTGCTGCAGAAACTAGACTGACATGAAGGCAGGACTTCCTGATTACGAACGTTTACATAAGCCACAATCGTAACCACAAATCGACGAAAACCACGCCCCTATTTTTAGCCACGGTCTAACACAAAAATACGTTTTGAGGTTGTGCGAAAATAAGCCAGAAAACAAGTATTTAGAACGAAATGTGTAATATATATATTATTTGTCGAGACACTTAAGATACAAATTAAATTTGGAAGCTGATAGATATTTGTAAGGCCTGTCTCAATATTATGTCACCACATCATTATACATGTCTAATAATAGTGTCAAAGGGTAACAGAGATTCTTATATGTATGTGATTTGATATGGTCAAGACGATTCACCAACCGTTCCACAATGTCATCTAGTGAGATCATGCATAGTGAGAGTTTATAATCATGTATGGATGCATAAAGTGTAACGTTTTTTAACACTCCCCTCAACATTCATTATTAGGATAATTATACATTACTAAGCATACACGTGAAGCGGTATAACACTGTACCCACTTCACCCTTGCCCCGCCTAGATGTAGACTAGATGCAATCATTATGAATCATTGACGGAGCCGCCAATATTTCTTGTTATTTTCAATGCGGTAATGGCAATGAAACATAAATAAATCATCACAAAACATGAATTAAACAATGAAAAGAACATATACAGGAAGGAGAATGGAATTCTAGTACAATGCCCTCTTATCATTCTAGTACTGAAACATAGTTCGCTGATTGAGGGGCGTTGTGTCAATGACGTCATTGATGGTTGTGAGTAATAGGTAAATAGAGAATAAAACCCCCCATGCCAGAAGCGCTGGGTTATGAAGTGGCTTTACATCACATTGTTGAGAAATAGGACACGTTATACACTGGCTACGATCCAAGATCGTGCAGACGTCGCTGACATCCCTGCTGCCCTTATGTCATGGTGCTTGGTTACTGTCATAATGCCATGACGTGATTTGCCTTCTCGCGTAACACATCCATTAAATGCGCCAAAGTGTATTGGCTACAATGAATTTGTTCCGTATTGAAATCGGTCGTATGATAGGAAAAACGATACAACCACAACAACCTTTGTCAATGACATCGGGTCCAAGTTTCCCAAACGCAACAACCACCGTCTCCCAGACTCTCTGACCAAACATAAAGACACGCCCAAGCATATGCAGCAATATCACTGTCAACAAACATATATTACTATGACATACTAAGAGAGTGCTAAAGAAAGCAAGCGGCAACCAAAATGCACACGATACTGACCTAAACTGGTATCTATCGTTGCCCTGCATATTCCAAAGTTCACCTAGTTTACGTTTCTTATATTTTCACGGGGCAAGGACACGTCCGCGATGCCCGTTAAACGAAATATTCCTCCCAGAAACTATTGGTACAGGATCAAGAACGAGCAAATGTTCACATGTCAGTCCCGATCAGCTGTGGGAGTCCATCTTGCACTACCACTAAGAAATAGGAGCCTGATCACAGCAATACCTCAGGCGTACTTCTCCAGAATACCGCTTTCCCATATTCCGTAACATCATCATCACCTACAGCTCAACCAAACCGGGATTTCTATTTCTCTCAGTGGTTAAGTGGTAACATTTGCGTTGGTTGTGCAACCGACGATTGTTTACTCTCCCTTGATTCTAAGATACACCCTATCTTAAAGGTCAGATCTGCATCTCAAGAGTTACAGAGATCGGACATCATCAGGCTCATGGGTTACGTCCAGAATCATGACAGAGTTATGCCCCTTTGGAAAGCCGCCATTTTATTTTTTTGGGTAGTTTTGTTGTCATCACACACATTCACAGAATAATTGGTCTCCTTGTTGGCGTGTTCGCTGACATTGTCGTTACAGTTAATGTACAGTTTACCAATTATATTACACATGAGGTAGTGGTGTAATTCGTAGTTTGGATGATCTTTCAAACATCTAGTGTTGGGGTAAAATGGTAGATATATGACATATGCACCCCCTTATTGTTTTGCTCAGTATATAACAAAATTAAGCACAAACATAAACAGCCCCGTCGCGAGAGCCAATACATGTGTGCATAGCACAGATGTGCGCTTTACCCACGCCATTATGTGTGTTGCTTCATCAACCAAATGCACGTGCCATGAACTCTGCACGCAGATAGTGTTAATATGTCCATTGCCCTTTATCATTTAACGTTAGGGGAATTGTAAATACGTCCACGATAAGGAATTAATAGCAGTCCGCATGTTTATCTTGCCAAGTCATATCCATGAAGTCATGTGCAGCTACGGAACCAGAGCTTGTCGTAGATGATCAGGATCCCGTTCCACAAAGCGATCCTAGCGCTGAGACGATCGTAACTCACATACTTTAACATAGACTTACGCCAGAAGCCGCAGCGCTTTTTGGAACGTGCCCTGGTGGGCACAATATCACCCCCGTGAGGTGGATCGCTGTTCATGCTGCAAACACTGGTATGCTAGGGCCCAGTTCCACAAAGCGATCTTAGCGTTACGACAGTCCTAAGCCTATGTTGGAGTAAGGTTACCATCACGTAGACCTAGGATCGCTTTGTGGAACGGGACCGATGCTCGGACTCGACTCTCGTACCTGCCATATTGAAAACTGCTGCATAAAACACAATATACACTCCAGTATGCTTGTCCTTTTGAGCATTATCACAGTATATCAGATTTCACCCCCCCCCCCCCCCCCCTCCCCTTGTATCATAACAAATCATAACTATACTACTGAAAAGAAGTTAAAAAACACCCGTTTCTTTTATATTACTATAATTCATCTGTCATCTGTCATCTGAAATAAAGAAATAATCGGATACTCTTTATTTTCTTTGGAGTAATATAGACTAATTTTCAAAAGTTAATGGGGGCACGGGTGGCCTAGTCGTTTAAGGCGCCGCAAATCGCTGTACCAGTTGCGTCCCTCTGGCACGCCAGAAACCTATGATTGTGGGTTCGAATCCCGGTTCGCCCCGATTATGTTTCTAGGTTTGTCAGCACCATACCAATGCTCGTGGGTTTCACCGAAGTGGTAAACGTCTGAACCCTGAACCCTGAATCACTTCGGGCTCTCCTCACACATTAAGCTGACACGCTGTGATGTAACTGGAATACTGTTAAAAGCGGCGTTAAATCCAACTCACTCACTCATAATTTAATATCAACGTCTTAGAACATTGGGCATGTGTCTTTAAATGCAAACTACGTGCGGGTTACTTGTATGTGCTGTCACTTAGCATACTTCAAGGTTAATGGTAATGCTTTGAGTTAGTGTTCAGTGTTGTCTATATTCCATCTGGTTCAGCTTGGAGTTATTCACTGGCTAATACATCCCCCACACTCCCCATATCTGCCCCTCGGCATTATTCAGGGACAAGTTGGGTCACCATGACCTCGACGGCCCACAAACATGTGCTGCTAATGGGCCAGAGCTTGCCAGTGATCCGACAATCAATGTTGAACACTGTATAGCTTTATAATTCTTCAGATGATCTCGGCAGAAGTTAAAGCGAAATAAATAACCTCAGGAAGATCTTAAGGCGTTACTGTTTTTTAACAGTCATGCTTGATTGAAATGGAACAGCGTGCTCCCACCCCGTATTCAGCGATTATTATGCAAATGGTTGTTTCTTTTAAAGAGGCACGTCCGAGACGAGTGGACAAATTCGACTCACATTTTAATGGTACTTTTGGACACCTCATTTGTGTTTCCATATACATTTTGAAAATACACGTACACCTATATTGCATGCCGGAATCATATGCGAATTATCAATTATAATACGTTTTGTGTTAATGAGATGCTTATTTAAACTACGGCGCCAAGGAGAGTTGTGTCCCTGATCCAGGATCCGCTGATTGCGAATAAATGATTGACCTATGTTCTGATTTTTGGTTTGCCAGCATCTGTGAAAGTCCAGTTTCCACCCTTGCCGAACTAGGCAGGAATTCCGGAGTTACATTTTGGTGGACTAACGAGTCTATGCATTGTCCAATCAAAATCGCGCAACGAACTAGAAATCCGGTTCGTAAACAACATAGAATTCAACGTGCAGCTTTCGATCGACTGAAGGATTTGCAAAGCATGTGTAGCGTTAACTTGGCATCGACAGATGTTTTCCAAATATTTTCATATTTTTCATCAAGGCGCTCAAATGCTTTGATGAGGTAAGACCCTTTATATTACAATAGAGATCTTGACTAAGGTTCAGATCGACTTGACTGGGCGTGGCAAATGCAAATGATATAAGAGGTGGAACCTGATTGGTCAAAAGGAGGGACATAGAAGGGCTATAACTCGTAATAGCCTCTGGTGGCGCTACGATCGAGCAACGACATTCCAGGCTGGTTCGGCAAAGGTGGAAATTGGACTTTTAAAGTCAGTTAACTACCCTGCCTCGGGAATATGATTTGCCAGCAATCTGGCCATACTCACAAGTTTCACCAAGGTGGTAAGCGTCTTAGAAATGTATCACTTGGGCTTTCCTCCCACCCTTAAACTGACAGCAAATATGTAACCGAAATATTGTTGACGTGGCGTGTCTATTGTACGATTCCGACTTTATCACGAGCATGTGTTTATGGATCACTATCAAATAGTAATGATACCAGGTGTTCGCGAAAAGGTGAGCGTATTCCGCCCGGTCGGTGCACCCGTCACAAACACATGCAAAGTCAATTGATCACCTGAAAAAACACGGAAACATATGAACATACAATGACATATCACTCTATGACGTAGTTGTATTTTGAAAGTAGAATCGATGACATTCTGTAGTTACCTGAATACTTCAATGGCAAGAACGTCCCCTGACAAATCGACGTATCGCATTGCCTCGTCATGACTGCGACCTTTCAATGGGATGCCATTGATGCTGACAACTGTATCTCCTTCTTGCATGCCCTGCGCATGCGCTTGACTCCTCTTCCGGATCTGAAATCAAATGAGACATTTAAAGAAACTGTCTCTCCTGATAAGTTATTTGTAATAATTGTTATTGTCTCAATGTCTAAATACATATATGCTTAGGATCATATAAATTACAAATTACGACAGTTTCACCTTTGTCAATATTGCTAACAGGAATCAGTTATGAAGAACCGGTAACATTTCGTTACCAACTCATTTCATGGAACAAGTACTCTTCAGTTTGAAGGAGAGGTCAGGTGAGGTGGGGTGAGGTGAGTCGAGGCGAGGTGAGGTGAGGTGAGGTGAGGTGAGGTGAAATGGGGTGTGATGTCGCGTTCAAGATTATTGCACTCATAGCGACGTACGTGTGTGTGTGTGTGCGTGCGTGTGTGTGTGCGCGTGCGTGCGTGCGTGCGTGGTTGCTTGTCGCAGTTTAACATGGTCAACCCACTGAGCATCCTCTATATCTCCAGGGACCGCATTTCGGTAAATCTACACAACCCCTGGACCGATTTTACAAGGTTTTCGCGATCTTAAATTGCCCGCCCTCGATTTCCTTCAGCCAGTTTGATTGGCTCGAGTACTTGGTCTAACGTACCAATCAGAATGCGAGCTACAAACCCGCCTCAATGTTGGGTTGGCTATATCAACTTCATAACGGCAAGTCCCATCGATTCCGATAGAGTTTGCGAGAAATTCAACGTTGAAAACCGACTGACACACAAAAGAAAGCATTCAAAAATAGTTTTGAAATATTTTGTCTTCATGTCCATAAAAACTGTCGGCTGCTTTGGTTTCTAGGCAATACGAGTTACCTCCCTTGCCCATTTCCATTTTTCCTTATCTCAACGTTTGATTGGTCGGTACAATGTTAATGAAAATCAAGGGCAGGTAATTGAAGATCGCGAAAACCTAGTGAATGGGACTAGGGTTAGTGTAGATTTACGGGAATGTGAGACCTGGGCCCATTTGCAAAAAGGGATCTTAGCGCTAAGACCATCGTAAGACTATGTTAAAGTATGGGAGTTACGATAATCTTAGCGCTAAGATTGCTTTGTGCAAGTGGGCCCTGGAGATATAGAGGATGCCCACTCAGACACATCATGCTGACTCCAAGTCGACCAATCCTTATGTAGCGGCCATAAAAGTCTCGTTATGGGATTCAAACCACGGACCTCCTGACCAGGGTCTTTGGTGTGACGGGCGAAAGCTTTAACCACTAGGCCACCCACCGTTCCCAAACGCCAGGACGAGTAAAACAAGTAACATCCTTTCACGTATTTTGGTTTGACGCGGTCAGGGGATCGAACCACCGACCTTCGCTCTCCGGGCAGACGCTCTGTCCACTAAACCAATTAGGAGGTTAGTTCGAAGACGACGGTGTCGTGAATGGTTTTAACACACTCTACATAAGTGAACATCAAAATTGGCCCTTCGACATGACGAGCGAACGTTGTAACCACAAGACTGCCCTTTGTCCAAGCTATATAATACATTTATCATCCCAAACTGGCTCCCACCGGAGATATCGCTTGGGTGAGATCAAGCGACACCTACCCTGTAGATATCGCTGCAATATAACTGCATCACAATGCTTTGCAGACCATTGTGACGTCATGGTAACCATGACGTCACAATCAAATGACATCACTAATGGCTCTGCTACTGAAGCTGTTAGCAGTACTTTTTACACTTAACACTGCTTATTGCTGTCTACAAACTGAAAAGGTTTGAAGAATGATGTTGGATGATAAATAAAATCTCACCCTTGTGTCTTTTGATATCAATTATATCAACACTCGTTGATAAAAGTGGAAAAAATCCTCGGCAAGCGTCGGAGTTATCCCACTTTTATCAACTCGTGTTGATATATTTGATGTCAAAAGACACTCGGGTGAGATTCTCTATATACGACCATGAGTCGCGCAGCAACACAAAGTGCACGTTTCCACACGTGCGTAACACAAATTGATACGCATCCACCTCTTTCTGGGTAATTAGAGACATCATTGGAACCGCCTCTCCTCGTAAAATATGTTTCATATGTCGCAAGAATGTACCCTTGCTCCTCAGAGGCCACGTTGCTTAGTAACAAAAATAAAAGGTGTAGAAACAGCCAAGCAATCTTCCCAAGATTACTCTTTACGATAGCTATACAGGTACAGCGGGACAGGGCACAGTTTGGACCAAACACTATTTACTATTCATAAGTGTGTATTCAAACGCAGGCTTTCTTGTAGCATACTTATAGTTATTCATACAGTAAGAATTGGTGTTGCTGTTTATATTGACCTTGGGGGAATGTTTGTGAGTCGGGGGATGGATGGGAATTTAATAAGTTTTCTGTGTCATGATGTAGTTTGTATGCGTGTGTGATGGTTAAGTGGTTAAAGGGAGATTATGTTACATCCTCTAGTTCCGTCCCCGTTTCAATAAATTGAGATATCGTTTCTGTGTACTCAGGATAATCCGCAATTGTTACACACACACACACACACACACACACACACACACACACACACACACACACACACACACACACACACACACACACACACACACACACACACACACACACACACACACATATATATATATATATAAATAATAATAATGATAATAATAATAATAATGTTAATTAGTAGAGTGAGTGAGTGAGTGAGTTTGGTTTAACAGTTTAACAGTATTCCAGTAATATCGCGGCTAATTAGTAGAGAGATAAAATGGTGTTTGAGATGCTTCAACCAAAGTTCATTGTGCTGCCAAATAGACCGACCCTAGCATCCGTTTTAATGTATATTCGTTTGATATTAGCCAATAATGATCCTCTCAAGCAGTAGCGGTAGCGGGGAACTAAGGTCTGATTTTAAGGAGATTGATGAGGTCTATTCTTCCCCTGTAGAACTGCTGTTATGATTCTGCCACCATGACCGAGCCCTAGAAGGGCCACATTGTTAGGTATACCAGCGCAGGTGAAGAGGAGATGGTATATCTGACATCTACATACTTGAAATGGCCACCATCAAAGACCATACACTCATATAGCTCACGCTGGAGTGTCTTGTCAAGATATAACGTATTATCAACACACGGAGCATGTTAACAACATCAGTACCCTGTATGTATTCGCTGGCTTACTAATGCAGGGTGCTCATCACAGCCACATCATCAGCAGTAGATTCCACGTTAGAGAGGGTTGTGTTAAAACAAGTCGGTATTGCATCAATCAACATGTTCTTGCAAAACATAATTTGGCGCAGGTTGGATAAATGTCGTACTCAGTGCTTGCATGTTATGAAAATTCAATCGCGGCCAAGGAATAACACATAATAAGTAACAAGTCACAACGGAGTGCGTGTGAATGAGTGTCTGTACGAGATAGGCAGGGGGCACGAATAATGGACACATAATCTGTGTTCTTGATAACGTTATATATCGTCTTACTTAATTATGTAATATGCAGCAGCCGATATCCTTTGTATATACATATACAACTCCATGATTAGGGAAACGCTCAGCAACGATCGGCGTATAGTGACACACGCTCAGCAACGATCGGGGCACAGTGACACATGGTCATCAATGATCGGGGTACAGTGACACACGATTGTCAATTATCGGGGTACAGTGAGATACGATCATCAATGATCGGGGTACAGTGACACACGATTGTCAACGGTCGGGGTACAGTGAGACACGATCATCAATGATCGGGGTACAGTGACACACGAATGTCAACGGTCGGGGTACAGTGAGACACGATCATCAATGATCGGGGTACAGTGACACACGATCATCAATGATCGGGGAGGTGACACACGATTGTCAACGGTCAGGGTACAGTGAGACACGATCATCAATATTCGGGGTACAGTGACACACGATCATCAATGATCGGGGTACAGTGACACATGATCATCAATAATCGGGGTATAGTGACACACGATTGTCAACGGTCGGGGTACAGTGACACATGATCATCAATAATCGGGGTATAGTGACACACGATTGTCAACGGTCGGGGTACAGTGACACATGATCATCAATGATCGGGGTACAGTGACACACGATCATCAATGATCGGGGTACAGTGACACACGGTTGTCAACGGTCGGGGTACAGTGAGACACGATCATCAATGATCGGGGTACAGTGACACACGATTGTCAACGGTCGGGGTACAGTGAGACACGATCATCAATGATCGGGGTACAGTGACACACGATCATCAATGATCGGGGTACAGTGAGACATTATCATCAATGATCGGGGTACAGTGACACACGATCATCAATGATCGGGGTACAGTGAGACACGATCATCAATGATCGGGGTACAGTGACACACGATCATCAATGATCGGGGTACAGTGAGACATTATCATTAATGATCGGGGTACAGTGACACACGATCAACGATCGCGTTACCATGACACACGATAACGATCGGGATACAAGGGCACACGATCAGCAACGGTCGGGGTACAATGGTACATGATCAGCAACGGTCGGGGAACAATGGTACATGATCAGCAACAATTATGGTACAGTGACACACGATCAGCGCGGACACATTTTCTAACCGCCTTTCCTAATTTTAGTCGAATCTTGTGCATCATGAGGTACTGAGTGTCTATTCAGCCCCGTAATCTTCAAGGTGTGTGTGACATTAAAGAAATATGCAGCATTGGATCCCGTTGTTCCTATACACACACTGAACCTGTAGGTTAGAGTGTGTTGTGGCGGTCGTTCTAAAGGACATTAATGCATTTCTTGGCACTGCCGTTTATCCCTATCAGGAAGAAAGTGTTAAGATTCTTGCACCTGCTCCTACAGCCAGCATAACCTTGACTGTAAGGGCCTTCACGTCAGATATTGTTGCGAGTGGTATGTACACTGTGTACATCCATGGACATCAGAATTTCCTCTAGTCTTTTTAACAGCAATGTCTTTTACGTCTCTGTCATTTTCTGATAGTCGCGGTGCTAAGATCTATTTGCGGGACGATGCCCTTGACCAAACGTC